TTGTTTTAAAATATTTTTACCCCTTAAAATTAAAAAAAAGGTCTAATTTGTGCCTAAAAGTTATTTTTTTTCATTTATTACCTTCAAGAATAATTTTTTTATTATATATCCTAAAGTAAAATTATAGTTTTATCCTTCAAATTTTATAATTTTTAAAATTATATTTTTAATTATAAATTTGATTAATTTATTTTATTTTAATCAAAAACTTTGATCGGACTTAATCATATTTATGTTTTAATTCGGGAAAGACTAAATTTTGATCAATTTTTGACTTTGATCTATTTTAATTTTGATAGGCTTAATTGGGTGAATGATTAACCCAAATTTATAAGTTCAATTTAGATAGCCCAATTAAATAGGATAGACTAATCTAAGGGTTCCATGTATGTATATATATGTATATATATAATTTTTTCTTATGACATATTGATAAAATTTTATATGTGATAAATAAAAATCTAATTATTATCCTTGAATATTTATTTTGTTATTCACATGCATATATTTAAAATTATAAAATAATATTTATTTTTTATAAAAAGATATGATTTATGTTTCATCATGATTATAGTTATCATATAAGTTTTCTTTTATATTAATCAATATTTGATAATAATTATTATTATTAAACTATTTTGACATAAATTAAATTAAAGAATATGATAAATATTATTTATAACTCATGTCCCTATGTTTTATTTGAGTGATAGTTGTTGGCCTTAAATGATAGGCATATGAGATATGAATTATAATAAAAAAAATTTATCATTTATATAATATTTTAAATTATATTTTATATTATTGTATTAATCTTACGGCCATCAAAATAGCCTAAGTCAATAACTTATAAGATTATAAACTTAGTCTTGAATGATATTTAAAAAATAATATTTATAATCGTACATATAATTAGAAGATTTATTATAACCTTGTAGTGGTTATAATTACCTCCATTGGTGTGTACTGTAAGTCGACTGTGATCATGCAGTGGTTGAAGTCCTTCACACAAAGAGTCTTGCCAAATGTGGAATGCAATTCTGAAGCACTAAGCACCACTCTGGTTGTAACCTTGTAGCTTTGGGTTCTGTTCCTGGTGTTCCCTATGCTTGAGTGCAAGTCACCCTCTATTTCTCCTCAACCCAGGTTTGGTAGAGGAGCAAAACGCTTGCCTTTCTTCCACGTCCATGTGAGCCGCAGCCGGATGCGCTCTTGTTCATGGTACTTTGCTTCAGTTACTTTTGTTTCTTGTCATCTCAAGCTTAATGAACATAGAAACAAGTGTGGATGGTGCCAATAATTGTCATGTACTACCCCACTCATTCCTCTCTTTTGTTTGGGACCGTTCATGTATCCTCACACTAGAGAAAAATCTTGTTCATCACAAGTATCTGCCTCTCGTGATGATAAAGGACACAGAAGAAAGGATAAAAGAGGCCTTTTTCTTACTCCCAGCATGTTGTTCATGGAGCAAACCACCTGTTTGAGAGAGAGAGAGAGAGAGAAGGGGGGGAAGACGACTCCTGAACTGCAGTTCCATGCATAGGTTGAGTGTGTTAAAAGAAAAAACCCAATAGCTTGATGATGATGTTGTAATTGGGTTGATGTGAAGCATGAAGTCTTTTCTATCAGCGGAGGGATCAAACTAAAGTAGTGCAGGAATAGCTTCTCCACAGCCGCACAACTGTTGGATGGCAGAGCATCGCCCATGCCGTCATCCCTAAGGAAACACATCTTGAAGAAGAGTGGACAGTTCCCTTCCCTCTCAACAAAGGCACTACTCCATTAATAGATCTGCACCTTTGGTCATTGATAGCCACTGTAGAGCTCAGCGTTGTAGCGTTGCTTCACATCCCATATGAACGGCGACGAAGGTAAAGTGCAGCAGATATCATTGGCCAAAGTGTCTCTCAACTTAGACTTCTTCTCTTTTGGTGGTCCTACACGCCCAAATTGATCGTCCCAATTGACATGATCACCACAGTAAACTTCGACAGCTCACCCTGCATCGAGTGGCTTATGTAAGACAAATCTAGATATCAATTCATTGATGCCTATATGCATATATTTATATATAGTGTTAAACATCTAAATTGTCAAGACATGGACGTGTATCAACCGAAATAAAAGACTGATATGGCGTACAAGTCATGACAGATGCATAGTTAATGCGTATCTGCATGACCAGGATGGATGTTTATCATAACAAAAGGACAAGCATGTGGAGCCCAAAGAAAAGTTGCATGGATCGAGGCTTGTAGAGCTCGAGAAACTGAGTACTAGAACTATTCCTTTGCAATAAGGAAAAGAGAAGAGAGAGAGAGAGAGATCTCCTATCTACGGTGGTAGGTCGATGACTGGCCTACGTCACTGTCTGATTAGATTCTCATGCCCTGCTACCTGACTTATTTATAATCCTCTTGCAGGAGCAATCATCTTCCTTCATATCGCACCGTGTTGGAGAGTTGCAGCGTCTGTTACCTGCACTACTGGTAGTGCTTGTGAAGGCAAACATGATGGGATTGCCGGAAACCGATGGACCAGGAGAGATCCTGTCCGACGCCTGGGACTACAAGGGCCGCCCTGCAATCCGTTCCCGGAGCGGCGGCTGGACCAGTGCTGCCATGATCCTAGGCATGTGTTCCATCTCTGAATCCATTGCGAGTGTGTTCGTCTCCTCGTGCATGTTCTTTGTGGTTTGTGACTGACATGAATTCGTGATGTGGGGATAACTGCTTGAAGTGGTGGAGCTGAACGAGAGGTTGACGACGCTGGGCATCGCGGTGAACCTGGTGACGTACTTGAGGGGCACCATGCACCTGGGCACTGCCGTCTCCGCTAACACCGTCACCAACTTCATGGGCACCTCCTTCATGCTATGCCTCCTCGGCGGCTTCATTGCGGACACCTTCCTCGGCCGCTACCTCACCATCGCCATCTTCGCCGCCGTCCAAGCTTCCGTAAGCACCACCACCGTCTCCTCTTCTCTACTCATTTAACCAGCTCATTGAAAGTGTTCGACGGGATTACGATTTAGGGAGTGACGATCCTGACCATCTCGACCGTTGTGCGGGGGCTGCGCCCGCCTGCATGCTCCGACCTGGCCGCCGGAGGCTGCGTCAAGGCCTCCGGGACGCAGCTGGCAGTGCTTTACCTGGCGCTTTACCTGACGGCGCTCGGCACCGGGGGGCTCAAATCGAGCGTGTCCGGGTTCGGGTCGGACCAGTTCGACGAGACCAACCGCAGGGAGAAGGTGCAGATGATGAAGTTCTTCAACTGGTTCTTCTTCTTCATCAGCCTCGGCTCGCTGGTCGCCGTGACGGTGCTGGTGTACATCCAGGACAACCTGGGCCGGCAGTGGGGGTACGGGCTGTGTGCCGCGGCCATCGGCCTGGGGCTTGTCCTCTTCCTCTCCGGGACCAGGAGGTACAGGTTCAAGAAGCTGGTGGGGAGCCCTCTGACGCAGATAGCGGCCGTGATGGTGGCGGCGTGGAGGAAGAGAGGCCTGGAGTTGCCGTCCGATCCTTCGCTGCTGCATGACATCGACGAGAAGCAGACGGCAGCGCCGGGAGCGGAGAAGGGATCAAAGAAGAGCAGCGCAAAGCAGAGGCTGCCTCGCACCAAGCAGTTCCGGTACGCACTTCCTCCTCATCAAACTCGAAGATTAATGGGTTGGCGTAGGATGAGAATTAAATGAAATCACTACACATAATGAATCTTATATAGATGCATTCATTTCCCTGCTATCATCCGATACTGTACTGCTAGAAATGGGGTAGATGGCCCTGCGGTCATGCACCAACCAGTCGCACCGATTCATGTCCTTGGGTTCTCCCCTTCCTCACTCGTCATCTGCTCGTTCTTGCATCCTTGCAGCTGCCTGGATAGGGCAGCGATCGACGTCAACCTTTCGACGGCGAAGCCCACCAAGTGGCAGCTCGCGACCCTGACGGATGTGGAGGAAGTGAAGATAGTGATCCGGATGCTCCCCATTTGGGCCACCACCATCATGTTCTGGACCGTGTACGCCCAGATGACCACCTTCTCCGTGTCACAAGCCACCACCATGGACCGCCGCATCGGCCGCTCATTCCGGATCCCGCCAGGCTCCCTCACCGTCTTCTTCGTCGGCTCCATCCTCCTCACCGTGCCTGTCTACGACCGCGTCGTCGTCCCCGTCACCCGCCGCTTCACCGGAAACCCCCACGGTCTCACCTCACTGCAGCGCATGGGGGTCGGCCTCGTGATGTCCATCCTGGCCATGGTCGCCGCCGCCCTCATCGAGATCAAGCGCCTCCGGGTGGCGCGAGCGAACGCGGCGTCGATGGAGAAGGGTGCCACCGTCCCCGTGAGCGTCTTCTGGCTTGTCCCGCAGTTCTTCCTCGTGGGGTCCGGCGAGGCCTTCACGTACATCGGCCAGCTCGACTTCTTCTTGAGGGAGTGCCCCAAGGGGATGAAGACCATGAGCACCGGGCTGTTCCTGAGCACACTGTCGCTGGGCTTCTTCGTCAGCTCCGTGCTGGTGTCGGTGGTGCACAAGGTGACGGGGGAGAGCGGCCACGGTGGCTGGCTCACCGACAACCTCAACCGCGGCAAGCTCTACAACTTCTACTGGCTGGTCGCGGTGCTGAGCTCCGTGAACCTGGTGCTCTATCTGGTAGCGGCCAAGTGGTACGTGTACAAGGAGCAGCGAGCGGTGGTGGACGACGACAGCATGGCCGGGGTGGAGCTGACAGAGGAAGCGTGTTGCCATGCATGAGATGTATTACAGCATGAAACTTATGTAGTTGCTATTGCAAGTGATCCAACGCTACTCTTCTTATGCTCCGCCATCTAATTCCGCTAATCCACTTTCTTTGGATATCGATAGATCTAATTATCGCCAGTCTGCTAGAAACACTCTTGACAACAGATCGATGACAAGCTTTAAGAACAGAACCGGTCAATGTTCGGGGACCTTTTTAGTGTTCTTCCTACGCTATGCTTACAAGGCAGGAATCTATGAAAGAAGTCCAAGTTAGCATTCACAAAATTGTATCTGAAGGTCCTTACCATCACCAATACGGATATTTCAATCTAAAACAAGATGCACAAAACAGCTCCCTTCATAACAAGTTAACAACAATGGGAGTATACTACAAGAGTCCATGATGGCTAGAGAAAGAACAAGAAGAGAAGAAAAATAACATTTTAGTTGGGTACCTTGCTCATGTGGTAGACTCATCATTTTTGTCTTCTGTTCTATGACTTCTTGATGATATACCCAATAAGAGCACCTAGAAGACCCACCAAGACTACAAATGTGACACTGAAGCTGCCATAGTGCCCGTTGAGTTCTTTTCTCAGCTGATCCTGTAATTAAGATTAGGGTGAGGAATCAATGGTATAACGATAAAAACTGAGACCATAAACCACATTTATATCAGCCAATATGGTACTCCTAACAAAAAATCACACAACTGGCACAATACTGGCCAATATGTATTACAATACGCGATACATTTGCAATTGATGGGATCTCCAAAATTGCTTGAATTGTTCTTTTCATTTCGACAATCAGTTCTCCCAGATGATTGATCTTAGCTGATGAGATCTCCAAATCAATATTTTGAGAGCACTTAACCAGTCATTCACAAATTTGCATTTGCATGCAGGCAAAAGTTGTGACTGCGCTCCCAGAATACTTATGGGTAAAGGTTTTTGTTTACCCCACATCCACCAACAGATATAGATAGAAAAGATTACCAGGTTAATACATCCTTGTGTTGTGAAAAATCATGAAACCACAATGGCCTTACAAAAGCTTATCCGGTGTTTAAAAACTTATAATCCTTACCTTAAACAAAGTTGCCGAAAAGAACATGCAACATACACTGAATTTGCACAACAAATGAGACCACATGCTGCACTAAAACATCTCCTCAAGACACACCAATGTCATATGAAACACTGGCTTATGACTCTGCTTGGATTTTAAAATATTATCAGGAATGTCTAGGCCTATAATGAAACATAAAATAATCAAATTGAAATTTTGATCTAACTTATGGTTGGCATTGCCATCAGAACTGCTTAGGCAGCAAGAAAACTAAGATACTTGAGGTGTTAGGTCAAACTGTTTTGATGGTGCTTGTGCCATTCTTAATTGCACCTTTCAGAACCAGAGATGAAGCATGACCACTAGATTAAGGAATATCTAAGTAAAAGAAAATTTATTTAAAATGTGATAACATAATTTAGTCAAGTTGCATGCACCTGAATAAAACATGAAATTGCTCAGCCTCCTTGGTTTTGTAATTTCCTAAGTTGGAAAATGATCTACACATACCATTCTATAGGTCTAGAGCCACAAGGTACAGAATCATGGTCATATTAGAGATCCATCAAGATGTAACCAGCAATAATATATTCACACATTTTAAACTAAAGCAGCCTAATCCTTCAAATACAATTTAAATAAAGTATCATATTCTTCAAAAACTGATACATATGCGACTTCTTTAAATGAAAGAAATTGAAGACATAGATACTTTCCTTAATGGAAGTATTATCTCATATAAAATAATTGTGTAAATAATGAATTCAGAAATAAGAAGGTATAAGTCGACAAAAGTAACAGAATAGAGTACCAAAGTTACATCTATCGGTATATCAAACTCAAATTTCTCACAACGTATTTATCTGTTTATATGTGCTATGAATGGCAAAATACCATATATGTGCATGCAAGTATAATGCATACCAGTTCCTGTCGGAGCTTCTGATTTTGCTGAATGGCAGAATTTTTCTCTTCGGGCAATTTTGAATTCATAGCCAATGCCTGCATATCGTAAAAGATAATTGAACAACAAAAAGTTACTAGTCAATACAATCAAATAAAAGCTCATTCTTGAGGCTCAGAATAAGAATAGCATGTCAGAAAAGAAAGCCAGCTATAGTACAACTGAAACTTATCATAAAGCAATTCTGACTACAAACCAATTCACATATCATGGTGCTTACTATGAGTTGGACCTAGTTCATTTAGAGATACTGAAGCTCTATAATTCAGCCTGTTCCTCTAATACTCCACGATATGTAGAAAATCCAAGAAAACACAACATGTAGAAAGCTAGGTTCAGAACATTTGCAATCTACAAATTTTCTTCAGTATTCATTCTTCATTCCTATACTACTCTAATGAAGCTATCAAAACATATTATTCACATAAATTGCCCAAGAACCCATAACCTCTCGAGCTTCAATAAAAGGAGAGTACACATCAGCAAACAACTATAGATAGCCATGACAACTCTTTCCTTTAGCCACAACAAGAACAAAATTAACCTACGCCCACATGTTGGACTTCCAAAATCTCCCTGCTCTAACATTGATGAAAAAGTAACCAGGCACAGGTTTCAACGAGCATGAGTCAAATAAAGTATGTACAAGGAGCCACAATTTGAAGTTATCGGTGGGTGTAAGAGTGCTATTTCAAGTTCTTGAATACCAAGTACCACACGCATGCCAAAATCTTATCGGACCGGTAGATCCTGACCACTGTGGTGAAGCATGCTCCGGTAATAAAAAATATATATTTGATATGCTGATGACAATCCATATCGATGGTCCATAGGTAAAACAGTAGAGTATCAGCAGTACTGTCTCTGTACACCATGATTTTTTAGATGTGTTCATTTAGCTGGGCTGGCAATCATCATCCTATAATCTTTCATTCCCTCATATCTTCATGCATTGGTGATTAAAATCCTCGTTGTGCCAAGAACCCACCCACAGCCGATTATTTTTCTCATCTGAGAAGATTGCTCTTTAGTTCAAATTCAGAGTACAGTTTTGTTGATGAGAAATAATAATCAAAGAAGATATGAGCACTAAGTCGATCAAGTTGATGAGCTACTAGACTTTCTCAACCACACGCCAACTTGGTGGAAATTCAATATGTTTGATATAGAAGCAAGATTAGCGCATTAACTCATGATTATAAAATTAGGCCACTAAGTTACGCATACTGAGACGATGCAGGGCATATTTAAGAATATTTGTCATTGACTTCTCAGCATTGACCTAAGATATCTGTTTGCTACTTTTACTCTATGCTCTTAAAGCCCTTTCAATGTATTTGAACTCTACAACTACCGAAATTTTGCCCTACTACCACCCATCAGACAATGTAGTCCCCGATATCACATCATGGAAGAGAATCAACTCAAAGGACTGCTAATGGCAATTGTTTTGACTTTGAGTTTTTGACCACCTCATTGCAACATTCGGCAACATGAAGATCCTCCTCTTGAACATATGATTCCACATCCCTTAAAGAATCATGGATTACATAAAATTGAAATGATCAACCTGACACTAACAAACTTTTCTGTCAGATTTTCCACCATTCAACTATTAAGATGCTGAATTTAACAATGATCAGCTCCCATCCCTTCAGAAAAAAAATTGTCAACTCCATGTGCTCCGACACGATTAATGGAAATTTGCCTAGCTTTACAAACCCTTATGTCTATCTTGTAGTGGCATTACTTTTCAGGAGTGTATTCTTTTTGACGGTTACATAATAATTCTCATTAGTTATAACTGCATCTTTTCTACAATGCTAAACCCTGTCAGGAACAACTCCTAAAGTTTGCACATAGTGAATAGAGGATGAGGTCTTTAGTCAATCAAGGAACAATCTGAGGTAATTGGGTATTCATGAGTAGGTCAGATTGTTGATCCATGTGACAAAAGTTGCCACTGGACTGAGACTATTAGCAGACCTGCTAGGACTCCTAGTTGGTGATAGGAGTAGAGGATGAAAGTACATTGAGAAGGCGAGTTCCAAGGCAAATGGATGATGCAAGGGTTAAGGAAGAGAAAATGGTACACATGCTATTTATCATGTTAATCAGCTCGGAGCCATATGTTAACTTTCTCCACCTACATTCAACTTTCACAATGCAGTATTTTCATACATAACAAAAATTTACAAAATGTTGAGCAACATTTTCTTTCTGCACAACTATGTAAACAAGAGCAAATTGAGATAGAATGGATTTATCCATTAGATTCTTGGTACTGCAATCCGCCAAGCTAAAAGTATTCAGATATCTATTCACAAATTTCTTACTAATTGACTCCAATTGTAAGTTAAATAATAAAAAAAAAGAAGAATACCAAAGAAACATAATTAGAACATCCTTTTATCAACAATGAATGTAAACTCTTAAATACAGCTACACTAACAAAATTGAACTCTTAAAAATGGAACTGCATCAGATTCGTCAACACCCTATTAGTTTTAAATTCTGAGACTAAACTAAAAAACTAGTTCTCCAGGAGAGTAAAACAAAAACCAAGGATGATTCCATGACCAAAGCAACTAATTGGCATTCCTACTTCAACTTTCAAACTGATCACATCATAATAACGGATAACTTCAATTGAACAAACAAAAGTGAAACACAATATCCTGCAGTCACAGAGAAATCTTTGCAAGAAGCTCAGTATACACAGAGGACCAACTTAAGAAGAGACCCAGGTTTCTGGAAGGTTATATGCAGGTTCTATCTGGAGGACTTAGATGCATAAAAAAATTACTCCAAAAGCTTTGCAAATTTCATGAAATTTTTAGGCAACAACAGATGGATAAAGGGAAAAAGTTACCTCCGATGATTTCTCTCTTGGGGGTTCATTAGCTCTTGATACCTGAAATTTTTGTTAATTGAATGTCAAATGAAGTAAGAATAACATGTCATAAAAGAAAATGAAAATAATTTGTCAATGTGATATATTAAGGACGTTAACTAAGACAATTACTTACAGAATCAAGTGTTTTTAAACTTTGGGCCCCATTTTCAAATGTTGACAACCTTGGTGAGGATCCTTCTTCTGATTCCTCAGGAACAGGTGAGGGAGGACTAGCAGGAACACATACTACCCGCAGCTTGTACTCATCAACAACCTTACCGGGTTCTTTATTGAACTGAAAATTTCATATTACATTCAATACAAGTCAGAATCAAACATAGAAAATTTCACAGTAGAGATATCATGATACACTAATGAACTGCAAATAGGTAGCAACCATTTCGGATGTTATGTCCTTGGTCGTCACACCATTTTCTGCGATAACACTCTGAAGTAGGAACTTGTCTTTGCATTGCATGTCAGGTGGAGCCTCCTTTTGTGCTTGCATCGTGACTGAAGAATCAAAAAATGGGGAAACACATTCAGTATGAGTACTTGCAATTGACCAGCTATCAGACGTCACAATGAGATCCAGATATTGCTTTTATTAATTCGGAAAAGGGTGTACCGGTGACATCACAGGTGGACCTGGGTAAGACGACCCCAGTATTAGGGCGGACACAATATTTCTTCGGGTTGGTTGTTTTAACCTAAAATGCCACGGAAATGTATTAGAGAGAAGAGCAATAACATGACAAAGATGAGAAAAGAGATTACTTTGAAGGCAACATATTGATCTGTCTTGTTAATCAGCTGCATGGAACATGAGCTCTGCTTCTTCAACTCGACTTCTCACCGCATAACCAGTGGACAAGAAACAGGTACCGTTGACAAATATTAGCCTTTTATAATCAAAGGGACGAACGCAGAACGGAACAAAATAACCAAATGGAAACTAGAATAACTGTGTAAATAACGAAAAATCCAATGATACCATCTGTCGCAAAAATCGCGTCTTAGAGGAAGTTTGAAAGAACAATGTGGACGGATCACATGACAGACAATTGCCACACTGAATGCGACTTAAATCTAAGACAAATGTCACACCAAGAATCTCGAAAAAAGGAAACGGGAAAAGAAAACGTTGATATCGATCAAAGGAGATTTACGGAACGGGCGCGGCGCTTACAAGGGAATTTGAGCTCCGTCGGCTGGATGTCGAGAAACCCTCCCTCGCTCATTTCTCCTTGCTCTTTCAGATCTACCCCTCCAAGAACAAATTACAAGAAAATTACGAGGAGAAAACAACGGATCTAGGATTTCTTCCCCCCTTCGCCTTTTCTTCTCCTCCTCCTCCTCCTCCTCCCCCTCCGCTTGGGATTGGATCGGTGGATCAGTATTCCTCGTCTCGCCCGTCGGACTTGGATGCGCGATTCGGGAAACACCAAAAACTGATAGAGATCTCTCCTCTCGCGAAGGAGAACGGAGAAAGGGTGGGTTTGGGTGAGTCGAGATCTCTCTCCCTCCCCTCAGTCGCTTAGCGTGTGTGATAATTATGAGTGGATGTTCTTCTTGTCCTCGCACCGCCATGAAAGCAGCAGGCCCCGCTCTGGGGTCACGATGCCTTTTAATCGATCGGATCCGAGCATCATCAAGATCCGGATCCGAAGTAGGTAGGGACCGTTCACCGTTGGCCCTGCATCAGATTGGGTTCATTTAAATTGGGTCAACTCCGATAAGAAATGATAGAAAAATAGATTAAAAAAAGAGTCGACGATAATAGTATTCATTAAAAAAAATTTAAAATTAAAATATTATCTTATTAATTTTTGAAAATTATGAATAATGAGAAGGAACTCTAAATAATAAATAATAAATAGTAAAATCCTAAACAGATAGCCGCCCAAACGAACTCCGACGAACACTCCGTCCGCCGAGTACTTGAAAGGAGAAATGTCAGTCTCCATCTGTGATCGTTTATTTAGGCAGCTTACCAACATCAGACTTGTTAGGAAAACTTCCTTCTGTGATTGGGCCATTTTTGAGACTCTCTTTAGGGCTTATATAGGCATAGATTCTCCTTCTTCTCCTTTGGATGTTTCGTTTTATTCTTTTTCTCAAGGCAGCTGAAGGCTTAAGCATTGATACTTTGAATCGTTTCAGAAGAATGCATACAAAACTTGGGCTTGAGCTTTGTGGCTTGTGCAAAAACACGTGACCTTATAACAAGAACATGCGGCTTAAAGAATGAACTACTGTTCGTGTTGGTATACAAGGAGAGAATCCAATCCTCCTTGTATCGATTGTGATTGTGAAGTTGGTTTTTCTGTGACCATAAGCATGAGTTGAGGTCTTTTCGAGTATTCCTTTGCTAACTATTGAAAGGTTATGGATGTATTTTATTATTATTTATAGTTTGATGACTTCTATCGAGAGCAATGAGGTGATGGATTGGTTTACTGAAAGTTTAGAGATGCTGAAGTGGGGAAGCAAGGAGAGAGATAGAGAAAATAAGTTCGAAGAGAGAAAAATAAAATCTCTCTTTAAACGCCTTATAAATCTCATTATAGCAAAACATATCCAGTTTTGTTTTGTTATATACCGATTTCCCTTTCAATTTCTCAAAGTAAGAGTCATTATTTTGTTGGGATAAAAGAGTAAGAAAATGATAAAAATTAGTTGAAAAAAAATTTAAATTTAAATTAAAATTAAAATTAAAATATTAAACAAGAGAACAAATTAAAAAAAATATTTCTAAGTGTGCATTCTTTACTTCATAAACTATCATCATATTTATATAACTATCTCACTGACTCATGTTACTCATGATTAAATTATATTCATAAATTATTCTTATAATAATAATAACTTCTCATATCATTGATCACTTAGATAAAACTATTTAGAATATGATCGAAACTATTTAATATATGGTAACCGTTAGTGAACGAAAGTAACATGGCTGATGAGTCAACATGGTTTGGTCCACGGGTCGATGTTGGGAGTTTTTTGTCGTATGAGTTGGAAGGCGAGATGGTCGTGTCTTCGGGAAGGGGTGCTTAGTAATGTTTGTAGGCCTTCGGACTGGTTGGTAGCTCGCTCTTGCGTGTCGAACGTAAATCCCCGGATTGGGACAATCACAGCTCGGGTGGTCGTTCGCTTGTAAAAACAATCCTCGTCGGGTGATCCCCGACTTTGGTCACTCCGACGAGCAAAGTCAGTAGAGGATTAAATTGCTTCCCTTTTTTTCTTTCCCTGGCCGAATGCCGGCCAGGGGCTTTTATACTATTGTGCAAGGGTCGGTTGCGCATCGGTTCGATGTAGCCGCTGACCCTCGTGGGATAGGACGACGCTTCTGACCATCTAATGTCTTGGAGAATGTCGGAGCAACGTGAGACGGCATCGCCCCGAGCTCTCAGGATAGGTCGTGTCATACAGTGTCTCGGTACAGATCTCGACTTGGCGTGCGACATCGGATTCTGACGGCATGTGACATTCTGACATCGGTTGTGACTTTACGTGTGACATCGACAGTGACTTATCTGAGGCCCAAAATATGCTAACTATATGAGATAATTACTTTGAATTAATTTTTAATATATACATACGCTATTATTTCTAAAGAACTTTCAAATCTTTTCTACCATAGCAAGGCAGTCGTAATGAAAAAAAAAAGGGTATGGTACTCCAATTGTATATCAGGACCTGGAACTTTCAGATAGCAATATCCTGCTCTGTGTCCATAAAAGCCTTGCTTAGGTTTATCCCTGCTTGCAAACACATATAGTTTTACCTTAATATATTCCAGTTTACTATACTTTGTAATGGAGAAGACTTAAAGATTCTTTATTTATTTATGGATTTCCCATAGAACAATGTTTTACTTTCTCTTGTACTTAGGGAAGGTTAAAGAAAACATACAATTGCACTCACAACTTCAGTGCGGAATAAGCAGGATATATTTAGCCTTCTCAGATAGAATTTAGCATTTAATGCCAGCTTTGTTTATGAACTAATTTTAAAAAATTATTACATAATTATACTTTTAAAGATACCATCAATCGTTTTAACAAAATCTATTACTTAGTCTGATGAAAAGTATTCATACGTAAAGTGAACCAGACTCTCCTAAGATATATAATTTTAACGAAGATGATTACGATGATATTTTTACCTTGTTTAAATAAATGTTAAGTAGTTTATAGTCAAAAATACTTTTGCGGCTTACATCTTTATAAGAAAAAGAGTTTATAGTCAAAAATACTTTTCATGATTTTACTCCATATTTTCGCTACCATTACAACATCAGAATATTTTATGGTTTTCACACATCATTCTAGTCTCACACAGCCCGCCTGTTCTCACCAGCCACGAGTATTTGGAAGACGACGGCGATGCAGTAGTGGTATGGATGGGCCCATGCACCCGTCCATCCTTCCTACATTCCCGCCACGAAGTGCGCCAAGCTTGAGCGCGTGAATATTTGAACACCGAGATGGTGGGGACCGCTCAAACTTTGACGTGACCGTGAATCAGTGGCAAGGCAGCTATGAGCTTCTGCAGTGATCGTAGACAGGTGCACGAGCTGGAAAAGAAGACCAAAGCGATAAGCTAAGTAGCTTACTGTTGATTGCTTTTACATCGTGGAAGGCCGCGATGCACTCTGCCTCCCCCTTTCTCCCAGCGATATCAGCCGTCGATTCAGCCGTCGCAACGGAGTTGTTCCACTCAGGTCCCGCGCTCTTCTCGTCTTTTTGAATCCCAGCCAAAGCAGGTGCGAAGCTCCTATCACCAAACAGGGCGTCCACAACCGTTTCGGGTTCCAAGTCTAACGTGGCATTTAACCCGTGTCTTGTCCTTCCAACTAACGCTCTTTTTCTCTCTCTCAAGTTAGAATGCCAGTGGTCTGTTCATGCTGTGGTTTCAGTACAGCTTGCCAAATGCCATATCGGCGTGTCGGAAAGAACCACCGAATGCGAGAGAGAGCGAGGGAGAGAGAGATACTGGTGCTGTTTCTGATCTCTCTTGTCCGATCGCAAGCAGATTGGTCTGTAAAGGGCGGTAGACTGTTGAGGCGGTGTTGGTAATAGGAAGAGGAGTAAAGAAAATTAACTCAAAACAAGAGGAGAGGGAGAGAAGGGAATGGTGGGGCGGTGGCGGTCGAGCGCGGCGGCGGCGGCGGGGTGGGTGGTGGCGGTGGCGCTGGTGTGGGCCACGGCGCTGATGCTCCCGAGCTCCGCCGGCGATCCCTTCGCTTACTTCGATTGGGATGTCTCCTACATCACCGCTTCCCCTCTCGGCGTCCCCCGGAAGGTGACTTCCCTCGTTTTCATCTACAAAGCTAGTCGATCCGAAGAAGGAAATGGGTGATGCTTGTTCATTTCTTTCTTTGGCATGTGGGATCGAATCGGCGTCCTTTGGTAGTTTTTTTGGTCAGTTCTAGGAGAAGATTCACAGGTGATTCGTAGGGCTTATAAGTTACCATCGATTTGATTTATGGCAGGTGATCGCGATCTCGAAGCAGTTTCCCGGCCCCATTATGAACGTTACCACCAACTGGAATGTGGTCGTTAACGTACTCAACAGCTTGGATGAGCCTGTCCTCCTGACCTGGTATCTTTCCTGCTTCTCGTTCTTGAACTTCTTCCCCTGTATCCTTTGATGGATTGAGGGTTTGTGTTCGAGGTTTCGGAGTTTGGCATTCTTTGGAAGGTATGGTGTTTGGTTTCTTGATGTTCAGTCGGTGTTTCCAGGGACGGAATCCAGCACCGGAAGAACTGCTGGCAGGATGGGGTGATGGGCACCAACTGCCCTATCCCCCCGGGCTGGAACTGGACCAGATCGGCAGCTTCTTCTACTTCCCCTCCCTCGGCCTCCAGCGAGCTGCTGGTGGCTATGGTGGGATCACTGTCAACAACCGTGAAGTCATCGCCGTGCCATTTGGGAAGCCAGATGGGGACATCACCCTCTTTATCGGGGATTGGTACATCAAGAACCACACGGTTGGTGGATTTCTCAACTCCCTTCTGTCTGTTTGTGGGTAAGGGTGCCATCCGTATGACCTTGGTGGGATCCTGTTTGCAGGACCTGAGGAAGGCGCTCGATGATGGGAAGGACCTCGGAATGCCTGATGGAGTTCTGATGAATGGGAAGGGGCCGTATCGTTATAATACTACGCTTGTTCCTGATGGGATTGATTATGAAACCATCAACATAGAACCGGGTAATTAGTTGTACTATTATGCCCAATTCACAAGTTTTAAACGTTGGGAAAATAAATTCAAGTAAGGTCCTCCCTCACTTGTGATTTCCCTGAAGGATATTGTTCCACTCCTATGCATTAGCTGGTCGCAAGTTAGGTCTGTTGTAATAGGAGGCAAATTAGAAATATACAAAGCTAATCTAAAGAGAATAATATCATGTCGAGGTGTTGGCTTTAATCTTTTAAGGGGTAAATTTGAACCAGATTAGCTTCCATGCTGACATTATGAGTAGATGCCCTGACCCCCAGATCATGTTGGAGAATCCTTGTGGGCTACAAGCTTATATCTTCCAAGAAAAAAAAGTTCTTAGATCTTTTTTTAATTTATCAGTGCACATTAAAAAGCTATATCTTTGTGATGGTGACTAAGTATTTTGTTTAAATTGTAGCGGAGAGAAATTAGATTGTTCGAAATCATACAATGTTTTATGGACACATTCCAACTGAATCCCGGTTACACAATATCCAACTCGAGCTACCATAGACTGCTTATTATAGATGAAAAGTAATGCTGGTTATCTAAATGGAGAAAAGTTATCTAGGTGAAATATTTCTTTTTCATACAAGGCTAGATAGGGAGCTTCCATCCCAGAGCTACTGGTAGCATCATTTTCAATACAATGCTAGAAACTAGTTCTCTTGCTATCTGAAAAGTGAGCTCAATTTTCAAGTTTATTGGCCCATAATTGATTTTATTTTTTATCTTCTCATCAGTAGATTCTTATTTTTTTTTATTAACTTGTTCTGACATCTGGAGATTTGTTTCCTTGAAACAGGCAAAACATATCGCTTCCGTGTTCACAATGTTGGCATCTCAACTAGCTTGAACTTCAGAATTCAAAATCACAACCTTCTTCTTGTGGAGACAGAAGGATCATACACTGTACAACAGAATTATACCAACCTCGATATCCATGTTGGTCAGTCATACTCCTTCTTGGTTACCATGGATCAGAATGCAAGCAGTGACTACTACATTGTAGCAAGTGCTAGGTTCGTAAACGAGTCACTATGGAGTAGAGTTACTGGTGTTGCCATTTTGCACTACTCAAATTCCAAAGGCATGGCATCTGGTCCTCTTCCTGATTCCCCTAACGATTTCTATGATAAGACCTTTTCGATGAACCAAGCCAGATCTATCAGGTCTGTATTTCATTTCTATGAAACACCAGCTTTCAGTATTCTTGCCTTATGATTCTTTTCTTAATCTGCTTTTGTGAACTAATTTTGTTTCTGGATGTGCAATTAGAGCCCATATGTTCCTTGTATGATATTTTCTTGGATTTTTTTATATTAGAATTTCTAAAGTATATCATTTATTCTCTTGACTCTTGAGAATTTCTTGCTAGTTGTTTGTTTAATGGGTTTCAAAATGAATCTACTGATGCTTTATATTTTCCTGAAGTTATGAAACTACTTTTTGGCTGTTACTATCATCGACTTTCTTATTGTAGCTTGTTAACTGCAAAAATCCTTTCAGGATGAATGTAAGTGCTGGTGCTGCACGTCCTAATCCTCAAGGATCATTTAGATATGGTTCGATTGATGTGACCCAGGTGTATGTTTTGAGAAATATGCCTCCTGTGATCATCAATGGAAAACGCAGGGCTACACTAAATGGTATATCATATTCTCCTCCTGTTACTCCTCTAAGGCTTGCTGATGAGTACAACAAGCAGGGAGTTTATACACTTGATTTCCCCACTAGACCACTCAATAGACCACCTCAACTTGGAACGTCTGTGATCAATGGCACGTACAAGGGTTTTATGGAAATTATATTCCAAAACAATGATACTATGGTTCAGACATACCACATGGATGGATATGCATTCTTTGTAGTGGGGTATGGACCACATTTTAGTGTTTCATAGTAGATGTAGGAAACTGTAGTAATTCCGTTTATCTTTTCTACATATAAAATTTGTTTTTTTGGTTAATCACAGGATGGATTATGGTGAGTGGACAGAGAACAGTAGGGGTACATACAACAAGTGGGATGGTGTTTCTCGCTGCACAACACAGGTATCTGCCATTCAACTTTCACATTCACCTATGCACTGATATGCCCATAGTTCATATTGCTGACATTAAAGTTGGTCAGCGTTAAATGTCTGTCCTCGTAACTAATGAAGTGGTGCATGTATTCAATTCCTTCACTTGTGTTCTTCAGTTTTCTTGCATTGACATGGCAAGAGATATTTCATGTCTAATGTGATTGGTTTTTCCAAAGATGCTTGAGTTTTATGTTTTTGTTGTGCCTATCTCTGTGACATTAATGTTAATTCCTTATTATAGTATGATGATCTGTGTACAGAAGCCCAAGTTCAGGCCTAAACTTGAGTGCATAACATTCTGAATTATCTCTTCCCTACAATTTTATAAATGTGATCAAATGATCATATGATCTGAATTTTCCTTTTATTGTTCAAGCTTCTATTTATGGGGTGCCATCGACTTTAATGTAGAAAACTACTAATATTTGTGCATTGCTTCATCTTCTAATTACTTATTACTGCATGCTGATAGATAGTTTATTATGATTGATAAGTTCTCTTCCGGTTTTGATTATTTTTAATGTGCTGATATGTCTTTTTGGCCAATGCTATAAAAGAATAAACTTCAGTTCAGATCTCTGTAGCCAATAACTTGTGGTGACCCTCTGCCTTAGGAGAGAGTTCAGATTTTGTGCACCAATGTTTTCCTTTTTATTGATGTCTTCCAACATAACCTTTGAATAAGGAATATAACCATCTCAATGCCATTCAAAAAGAAATATTCTTCTCGAGCGTCCTCATGATCCTGTCACAATGCTTGTGGCACACCTTTCAGCTGGATGAAAGTTCTCAAGTCATTTTATCCACGAAAATATTCTTAGCAGTGGCTCGTGTATCTCAAAATTTGGAATCCTCTTCTCAATTACTAAGTCACGTCATACTAATTCACTGCTGATGATGTTTTCCTTTGAGACATTAATGCACCCTTTTACATTTTTAGGTTTTCCCAGGGGCATGGACTGCTGTCCTAGTCTCACTGGATAGTGTAGGTTTTTGGAATGTACGAGTGGAGAATCTTGATACATGGTACCTTGGCCAGGAGGTGTATGTAAGAGTCGTCAATCCTGAAGATAATTCAAACAGGACAGAGTTGCCAATGCCAGATAGTGTCCTCTATTGCGGTCTCCTAAAAGATAAGCAGAAGTATGGTTTGATTATTCATGACACCTTATTTTGTTCTAAACCTGAAATAATATTCTCAAAGTGCTGTATTCTTCATTTCTTGTCCTTCCTCAGAGTTTGATATCTTTGTTAATTTGCACATTTGCAGGCAGCAGATTCCTCATGGCTCTCAAACTTCATCTTCTTTCATCACATATGTAAGGGGCATGCTGCTTTCATCAATGATGGTTTTGGCTTCAGTTGCCATTTTCCCATAATTAGTCCAGGTTAGACCGTAAGTGTGTTTGATAGGGGGCTTTTTTAACCCCTTTGAGCAACGTGACTTGTTTTAAGTAACTTAGGAGAGTCGAGGTTCTTAGGTCTGAAATCATGTCAATTTGAAGTTAAATTATTGTGCTTCTTATGATCTCCATGCTTCTTTTGTGATCATTCATTTAGCCATCGAACATTACTGATCATTTGTCAATGCAACTTTCAGTTCTTGTTCAAGTTCTTGCCGGTGACGCATGGTTTATCCGCATGGTTGTTTAATGCTTGATCAAATTGTTTCAGTTATTGTAAAAACTTGCTCTTGAACAAGATAGTATACTTGGTCATCTAGCAAGTTTTTTATGCTCTCCTCTTTCTGATACCAATGAAGAATCACTTTATGAATTCACAGCTTAGTTGGACGAATTAAGCCTTTTGTTTTTTTATGATACTATATGCATACATCAGCATCTCCAACAGCATGACATTTAGCGCACTGCCTACCCTTGTGATGCAAAAACTGATGGCTGATTCTGTTACAGAAATGATTTGCGCGAGTCCGTGACGGTGCATTGCTGCCATCGGGCACCAATTCTTTTAGATTCAGCGGTTGTTTCATGTATCATTCATTTTGGATGTTGACACTGACTTGCAGGCACAAGCAAAAAGCTTATTCTATATATTCGTTTTGAGTGCATCGACTCTCGTGGATTCCAGTTGTCCTCAGGTTGACGGGTGTAAGTATTTGGAACACTCCAAATCAATCTTTGGACGCCATTTTCCATATGATCGCAATAGCTTAAACAAAAGAACTTATCTCAAATGGAACATGGATGGTCTTCTTATTGGACTTCCGGGTCTCGAGCTATTTGGTGGTAAAGTAGTATAGCCTTTGATTGTTGCACGGATGCTCCAATCTGTTGAAACAAGTCTTGTGATCCTCAGGTTGTCTTGCTCAGTCATGCCACTTTTCCGAGTTGCAGTAGTTTTTCGTGTGGCTTCAGCAAGCCTTGCACGTAGTGTTATGGAGATAATTTGGTCTCTGTTCATGCTTCCAGAATCCAAAGGTGATCGACTTCGGTGGAATTCTACCGCACTCAATGATGCACTGCTGATGGGATGCTCCAGACGGACCGTAACCGAAGCAGCATCCGATGAGGGACGGGAAACCAAAGTTTCCGTCAGACGCACCCGGTGGATGCCGACTGCAACCCTTTGGCCTTGGCAGCTTTAGCGTCGGACGGCGGAGATGTAGCTATGGAAGGATCCGATTCGGAGTAACCGCTGGAGTGGAATTAGTGAAAGGTCAGGGTGGACGAAAACGCATCCAAAGCCAACCTTCCACCCAATATTTATTTATTTACTGATTTTTCTTTCGTCAGCTTCAGTTTATGACTTGCATTACAAGGCAATCATTCCTGTCTATCAGCACGATCGAACCGCTCCTGTAGCTTTCTCTTGGGGCCCGATCGAGTAGACGGCTGTGATGTATGCAACTAAAAACCCAGTAGGAGCCGACCCGCTCGTGGAGACATTATAACGCCCAGCTCATATGTCTTGTCTTTTTAGGCTCCCCTCATGGATCGGATACACCTGTGTTGGCCGAGCCAGCAAAGAGGAAAGGAAACGCCTTCTTCGCCAGTTATCGCGGCCCTCACCGCTGCGTGGGATGTGGAACCTTCCTTGTCTTTACTGTTTGGTATATTGGGAGATACAGTGTTCCACATGACATTGCCACCTACCCTCCATCTCACACCAAGTTTTGTTTCTTTATTGTAGCAGAAACCCCACCCCTGCTTTCCTCCTACCTCCATCCTTCGGTCTCCTCCGACTGCGACGAGTAGCTAGGGCTCGCCGATTCGATTCCTACTCGGTGTCGAAAGGTAAAACCCTCTTGCAAACTCCTCTTCGATCGCCGAGTTGATTTCGTACCCAGCGACTTATCTCGCTGTCTTCCCGTTGGTCTGATCTGCCCTTTTGGGTTGTCGGAGATTTTGCCTTTCCTTGATTCGGTTTCATGGTTCTTGGGATCGTTACGTCGGTTTGTTCTCCTTCTTGTTTTGGGAGATTCGGCCTTTTTTTGGGTCGGTTTTCTTTGATCGATCTTTCTTGCTTTTGGTACTTCGGTTTGACCCGGCCTCTTTGGATGTCGGAGATCTTGCGCGCCTTGTTCGGTTTTCTTTGATCGATCTTCTTTTTCTTTTCTGCCGTCGATTAGACCGTCCTTTTGGGTTCTCGGAGATTTTGCTTTTTCTTGGTTCGGTTTTATATGATCGATTATTTTCGCTATCGTTTTGCTAGTCTGTTAGGAGTTTTTCTCTTCTCGGTTCTCTCTTGTTTGACGATCAGTGAGTCAAAGCGAATTCTCAGCGGTGAGAAGATCTAGCGAAGACGGTAACTGTTGTCTAGACTAAAAGAATAGTCCCACATTGCTAAATCCTAAATGTTTAAAAAATCAGGTGCCACATATTGAGTCTGATCCAAAACTTGTCGAGTTTAAGTTTTTGGATCGAAGTGGTGCATAGTCTCATGTAAAGTAGAGAGATATTCGGGATCTATTCTATTTAGTTGGGCACTAAGAAGTAGTTCATCACACTTTCCGACAAATGTTGTTCTGTTGTCCTAAGGCTGCCTTGAATTAACTAGTGATGTCTCCCTGATAGAATTCAATGGAAAGAGGTGATTCATGAGATCAACTCAAAGGAATCAAAATTTGTTGCATGAGCTTTAGTTCATAGCCTTGAAAGAAATAACCCTGCAGATTTGTAAGAATACTTTAGATTCTCTGTGCATTTATTTCTTGTTTCCTTCTGTTGCATCTCTTTTTCTTGCATGATTATTGGGCATGGTAGATAAGTTATTTTCCCATAAGCTTGCATTTACTCATTTCAGTATTCACCTTAACATAGAGCATTAGAGCTTCTTTTTTTCCCTTTGGAAAGAATTAGTACTGTTTTGTGTTTGATATAAGCATTCACCTTAACATAAAGTTTTTTCCTTTGTAAAGAGTTAGTACTGTTTTGTGTTTAGTATAATTTAAAATAGTTTCCATGTAAGGTTGTATTGTATAAGTTCTTCAACCTTCCTTTATAATATTCAATTCAACTGCATACAAGTCTTATTCCTCATCCAAGATCATGAGGCCATGTATTGTTTTCTATTTTATTGCTGCATTTGAAAAGGTTGTCAATGGTTCCACCATTTAACGTAATCATTTGATCAGGTATCTCAATCTAGTTATCAATAATAATAAGGTTGTGGTTCAAACAATTTCTCACAGGTTTAATCTAAACAATGGCTGACACTGACGACATTCAGCCTCTTGTGTGTGATAATGGAACAGGAATGGTGAAGGTCAGTATTTATCTTTAAATGTGATACTATCATTTGTATCAAAAATCATTTGAAATGCATAAATATAAAACCTTCTCTCATCTTTTTGTGATAGGCTGGCTTTGCTGGAGATGATGCTCCTAGGGCCGTTTTCCCAAGTATTGTTGGTCGACCTCGACATACTGGTGTGATGGTCGGAATGGGTCAAAAAGATGCATATGTAGGTGATGAGGCCCAATCCAAGAGGGGTATATTGACTCTAAAATACCCCATTGAACATGGAATTGTTAGTAACTGGGATGACATGGAGAAGATATGGCATCATACCTTCTTCAATGAGCTTCGCGTAGCACCAGAAGAACATCCAATTCTTCTCACAGAGGCCCCTCTTAATCCCAAAGCGAACAGGGAGAAGATGACACAAATTATGTTCGAGAGTTTTGATGTCCCTGCCATGTACGTTGCTATCCAGGCTGTCCTCTCCCTTTATGCTAGCGGACGTACCACAGGTAATTTTACACTTGAGTTCTTTATGAGATCCATGTAATCATTTCTTTATATAATTTTGTTGCTTTTTATTGAAGATACAGATTTGTGGGACTTAATTATTTGACTTATGTTTGTTCATTTCTTCCGTCATGTACGTAAGTACAAGTAACCACCAGCATGGAAAGAATTTACAGACTTGCAACAATAAGAAGCCCTAGACAGGATATAGGAATATCATTCGTTAAGATATGGATAAAGATGTGTACAGTAGTTCATTTTTCTATTTTTTATGTTGGTATCCCTCTATTTGATATTGGAACATGATACTTGATAGTCTTTCTAGCATTTAGAGGTTCTCATTTAGGTATGCTAGCTGTCTAGCTTGTTCTTCCGTTTACTTCTAGTACAGGATCCCGTGATTCTTCTTCTTTAGTATGAATACTTGGCTCCATAGTGGATTCCTTTTTAACTTTCTTAAAATTTGCTTTAACTATTATGCCTTCAAAAAGGGACAAATGTCAGTGATAATTAGAATAATAGTTGGATCATTGAAAGTTCATATCAAGCATGTAAAATATATATTTTGAAATTGTATCACTGTTTTGGAATGCGATAATGCAAGAAGATACACGAGGTCTAACAAACATGATGTTTTCTGACCTTAGGTATCGTGTTGGATTCTGGAGATGGGGTCAGCCATACAGTACCAATCTACGAGGGATATGCACTTCCACATGCTATCCTACGTCTTGACCTTGCTGGAAGAGACCTGACAGATTCCCTCATGAAGATTCTAACAGAGAGAGGATACTCCTTCACAACCAGTGCTGAGCGGGAAATTGTTCGTGACATCAAGGAGAAGCTTGCTTACGTGGCACTTGACTATGAGCAAGAGCTTGAGGCTGCTAGGACTAGCTCAACAGTCGAGAAGAGCTATGAGCTACCTGATGGGCAGGTCATCACAATCGGGGCAGAGCGCTTCAGATGCCCAGAGGTTCTCTTCCAGCCATCACTCATTGGTATGGAGTCAGCAGGTATCCATGAGACTACATACAACTCCATCATGAAGTGTGATGTCGATATCAGGAGGGATTTGTATGGAAACATTGTGCTCAGTGGTGGGTCGACTATGTTTCCTGGCATTGCTGATCGCATGAGCAAGGAAATCACTGCATTAGCCCCTAGCAGCATGAAGATAAAGGTTGTGGCTCCACCTGAGAGAAAATACAGTGTCTGGATTGGTGGATCCATCTTGGCCTCGCTGAGCACATTTCAGCAGGTAAGGGTTAAATTTAGTTAGTAGTTCTCTTTTCAATGACTAGTAAAAGTCTTATAAGATGCTTTGTCTTCATTACAGATGTGGATTTCGAAAGCAGAGTATGAGGAGTCCGGCCCTGCCATTGTGCACAGGAAGTGTTTTTAGATGCTCCGTTGATTTTATGCTATGCTTTCATACGGTTCAGTGTGAGACTTAACTCAGTCGATGGTTTTGTTATGTTGAAGTCCTTTTAATATTTCGATGGTAATTTCTGTTTTATGGTTGCATTTGGACTCTTTTTAGTATAATATATCAGATACGCGTCCTTGTAATGTCAGTTGGGATGATTTGAAGACTTGGATTGTTGTTTCGATTGGCATCTTGAATGGGTTGGTCTATGTGGAGATAACTTTATATTCAATTTTGTTGTCGATGAATTTCTTATGATGCTTTATATTTGCTAAATTGACGATTAGAGGTTCCACGAAATCTGATAAAAATATTCAATATTCATCATTACATGCATTCATAAATATATATTTTTTAAATCCAAATCTATAGTCAACCTGATCCGCCTACAGTATGTGATTTCTCCATTCAACCTTTGGAGGCTAGTCATGTTTTATGTTTTGATATACTGGACAGTTTAGGAAATGATTTGTATAAAACATTAATGCAACTGAGATTTTTTTTTTTTAAATGTCGATGTGAATGTATGAAGTTATTGAGAAAAAAATTGGGGTATTTTTGACTTTGTCAAACATATTAGGTGTTAAATGATACAAGAATGTTCATATAGTTGACTTTGAATGGTTGGAGTATTCTGAATTGCAACGTTACCATTGTTGTTATATGGCGGTCATCGGTTACGTCTAACATCAATTGTAGCTTTTGTCTCCTGCTATGAACTTGGTCATAGGTGTTGATTGTTGGTTGAAGAGTTTGATGTATTGCTCTTTAGAGAACGCAAACATGAAGTACTCCTCTCTGGGCGTGGGTGATCCAGGATCATCGAGAGAGTGATTTTTTTATGTCACACGCATTAAATATTTTGAAGCTTTTTAGCATAATCTATTTTCCATGGAAATACCATTTCTCCCTCCATGTTATAAAATTATTCAGTTAGCATTTGTAATAAGGTCACGAGTTTAGGGGAGGGTGACTTGCCCTCAAAACAAGCACATGAAAGAAGTTGATGACCATAAATAATTATTTTCATTTATTTTTCTACACCTAAGAAATGAAATATGAGACAATGAATTTATTATGGGAAGATATAAGTAGTCCACCTAACGTTGTTCTGACCTATGTGCACAAGAATGTCTGATGTGTGACTAAAGTGTCTCCGAGATGAAAACATCGAGCTCTCGAGGCATCACTTATAAGGCAAAGAGGGGGTTAATGCTTGATACATCCACCTCAAGCAAAGGGAGAGGTTGGTGCCCAACCTAGCTACCTCGGGCAAAGAGGGGGTCAACGCTCAACCTTTCCACCTTAAACAAAAGGGGAGGTCAACACCTAACTTACTCACCTCAGGTAAAAAGAAGATCGATGACTAGCCTATCCACCTCGGGCAAAGAGGGGGTCAACACCCGACCTCAACACCCCAAGCCAAGGGAGAGGTTGGTGCCCGACCTACCCACCTCAGGTGGAGAGCGGGTCAATGTCCAACCTCTCTACCTCAAGTTAGCCTCGAGAGGGTTGGGTTTTTCTGACCTATGTGTCTTAAACAGTCTCACATTAGTTGGGTCAGGCTTTTTTGACTTGATTTGACTTGTGCTTTTGAGTGATCTCTTCAGGTGGGTTAGGATTTTTCGACCAGCATATCTCAGGCACCTCTTCCTTTGTGTCTCCTACGATAGTGAGCTTCTTCTCACTTGAGTCAGATTTTCTTGGCTCACATACCACTAGCTTTTTCTCACAAAAGTCAAGTTTTTCTGACTCATGTGTCTTAGACACATTTTGCTTTATGCCTCTCGTCATGATGGATTTCTTTTCATATGAGTCGGGTTTTTTTAGCTCACATATCCTAAGCACATTTTGTCTTATACCTTCTATGATTGGTAGTTTTTTCCCATGTAGGTTGGGTTTTCCCGACTAGCATACCTTGGGCACCTCTTTCTTTATGCCTCTCGTTATGGCATGCTTCTTCTTGTAAGAGTCAAGTTTTTTTTGCTCACACACCTCGAGCTTCTTCTCATGAGAGTTGAGTTTTCTTGACTTATGTGTCTAAGGCATAATTTGCCTTATGCCTCTTGTCATTGTGAGTTTCTTTTCACATGAGTTGGGTTTTTTCAACTCACGTACCTCGGGCATATTTTGTCTTATGCCTTGGCCATAGCGAGTTTCTTCTCATATTGGTTGGATTTTTCTAACTCACACATCGAGCACGTTTTACCTTGTGCCTCCCGTGATGATGGGTATCTTCTCATGCATGCTTAAGTTTTTTGACTCATGCACCTTACGCACGTTTTTCCTTGTACCTCTATCATGATAGATTTTTTTTATGCTTTTCGAGATAGTCTTTACACATCGTCCTTATACATTCCAAGATATCCTTTTATTAATTAATATCTCTTCGGATTCGACCCGAAAGGATATTTATCTTCAATATGGGAGGTGAGAGATTGACCCCCTCTCTATAAATCCTCCTTAGACATGGAGGTGAGGCTCATTTTTTCATTTGTGCGTCTATGATCTATTTTAGGATTTTTCTTGTTCTTAGCTTTGGTCCTCCTCTCTAAGGCAAGTTGGTCTTTGGTTCTCTTCTTGAAGGCAGGTTGGTTCCTAGGAGTCTCGACCTTTAAGCATATTAGCTCTTTAGCACCTCGACTTTCCAACAACTTGATCCCGAAGAATTTCTTTTGCCTCTGTAGGTTGGGACGTCATTCTTTTTTCGCACAAGCCCCTCCTTATCCCACAACCACTGAATAGCCGAGGAGGTTGGTGCTCCATCATCGAATAGCCCAGGGCAAAGGAAATTCTGACCTCCCTTTCATCGGAAGAGTCTATCTTTAAGAGAAGAAAAGTTGGTTCCTTTTCAAGTATAACGATAGTTTCTTTGGCTTTTCCACCGCTTATTCATGAGCCATCACCCAAAGTGTCAACCCTGATCTAGTTCAACCATCCTTCCACCATTGGTCAGCCAATGAAGAATAAAGGTGTGAAGAAGGTGACCTATCCTCGATGGGTCGAGGAACCCAAGATAAAGCACATTACCAAAGAGGAACCGAACGATGTGCCTCCTACCCCCGAGGCACTAGCATTTTAAGAGGATCTCCAAAACTCAAGTTCTTACTTGAGTAGAAGAGGACAGTGACAAATGTCAGTATTTGATGTGTGTAAGGGCAAGTCTTTGCCTTTCATAGCACTAAAGATAGTCAACTTATAGGATCTAATTCCAAACACATCGTTACAGCCAAGATGGGAGGGCTTACAAGAAGGACAAAAAATATGGAGCAATGTCGAAGCTACAAAGCAATACTACTAAGGGTCCCCCTACTTCGGGATAGCAAAGCAGCTCTATCGCTCTCCCTTAGAGGTTTTGCTTAATACAAATTACCATAATGAGGTCCTGGTAAGTTAAGGGTATTGGATTGCCCCTTTAGTACTTTATTATTATATCATGGCTAACTCCTTTATCTTTGACTTGCAGGATTATCATGACGCCATGATCCTTCTTGTTCGCGTGTGGATGGTTGGCTCCCTTACTAATCAGTAGTATTTTATGATCAATAATCTTCATGAAGAGATGGAGGAGCTAAAGAGGGAGAGGAGAGACCTGACATTTAACATCGAAGCAAAGGCTCGGAGAGCTGAGCTAGTGAGGTTGCTGGAAGAGGTTAAGTAGTTGAAGATGGTCCACAGCAACAACCGCAACATGAAAGATAAGTCATTGCGACTTACTCAGGAGCTGAACTTAATGATGATCTACAACTTTAAACTTGTTAATGGAAGACAAGCTAGATGACTTATCCCTCACCCACTTGTTGAGTAAGTGGGTGAGAGATATTTTTTTATCAACATAGACAATAAGGATAAAGATAGATTATAACTATTTACTTTCGATCCATGCCCACCAGTAATACTGCTTTATCTCCTTCTTCCAACTTAAATGTCACACAAAAAATATAAATATAAATATAAAATCTACTACGTAAAATGTTAAAATATAAATATAAATATAGAAAATCATCTTTGTTTATGGGCTTACCTTTGGTAGATTAAAATTTTATTATAATTTTAAATTTTATTTCATTCGGGTGTTTGATTTGCAAAGATAATAATGAGCAGCTAATTCTACAAAATTGTGGAATTATATTAGTAACATAAAAAGCACCTTCATATTAACCATCTCCCACAATATTTTCTTCTTATCTTCTACACACAACTAAATTACATGTACACACGCCGATCTGCGAGTACATAAATAGTATTCCTGTATCTTATAAATATGGACTTTAGACAGAGGCAGTCTCCGTTCCAAAAGCAAGTCCGAAGAGCCTCAGTACACCATAGCACGCGGCCATGGCCATCCACCCTCCAACCAGCACCCTAATGGAAGACTTCCGAAGGCTCGCTCCGCCTAACAGCGCACCGGCTGCTCCGAATCCCGCCAATCCCAAGCTCGTCACCGCACACACCACCGCGATCCTGATCCCCCAAGGCTTCACGAAGCCGCCCGCCAGCAGAGGCAGAAGCGCTCCCGCCCCGAAAGCCAAGGCCGAAGCCGCTGCCGCCTGGAACGGGCTCGGCAGCCTCCGTCTCTTCTCCTCGCTCGCCTCTTCCACCCCTTTCACTTCCTCCTCCCTCTTCATCTGAGCCACCTCGATGTCATACTGGGCGTAGACCGACACGAACTCGCCGATGGCCATGCTGCATGCGCCGGCTACCAGTCCGGCCAGACCGGACACGAGCATGGCCTTGGACGCCTGGTTCACGGCGCCGACGCCTATCATGAGGGAGGCGACCGAGACCAGGCCATCGTTGGCTCCCAGGACGGCGGCACGGAGCCATTGTCCTCTTCTGGTGTAGTCGATGGACTCCGGCTGTGTTTCCGTCGCAGGTGGAGTGATTATACGAATGGAGTGATGCACTCCCTCCTCGTTCTGACTCAGAGAAGGAGAGTAAGTTGCATGGACTTGGGAGGAGATCGTAGAGGCCATCGTTTAATTCTCCTTCCCGTATAGATATAGTGAGAGCTTCAAAGAAGAAGAAGAAGAAGGTGTGGGGAGTGTGGAAGGCACACGCAGAAGAGGTTCCATATATAGAATAGGAACACTGCTTGCGTGATGGGTCGGGGGTGGCGTGGAGTATACATGTGGGGGAGTTATTCTCGCAAACGTCGCGTGGGAAGGGACGAAAGCGAGGAGAGTTAAAGAAACGGTGAGGAGTCATCACCACCAAACGACCTGAGTTCTTTATCAAGTGGCGCTTTCGCCCACCGGAGGGAGGTGAGACTTGCGGCTGCTGCCATCCAATGAGCTTCATGCGCGAAGAGAATCCACCGAGAGGAAAACCTTCACATATAAACAGCTAAAGCTTCTCTATTGGCCACCAGTTAACTCCTTCGGCTAACCATAGATTATACGACGCGTGCTTTGCACGTTACTCCCTCTCTCTGATCTCTAATCGAAGTCATAAACATGCATGGATTCTTAGTAACGATGAGAAATATCGGAATAAACACAGATTAAATACTTAGTAAAAGAAAATATTTGAAGAAAGTAAACATGGAGAAGAGTAAGAACAATAAAGATGAGATTTGAACTCATGACATGATCTTAAACTCTTACCAGCTAAGCTATAGTTAGCACGAACAATAATATATCGAATGAGGTTTCAAACATATTAGAAGACGACTAATATTACTCTCACATTAGCAAAATTTGAAAAAGTCAAATGATATATATAATCTTACATTGCAAATTTTACAGTTTAAGATGACATGAAACATGTCATCGACGTATATGTCCAAAGATTACTATGTCAGCAACGTGAAAGTGTATTTTCATATAGTGCAATAAACAAACCCTTTTTTCCTCTTCATTTAACAGTGAAGTCATTTTTGTAGTATCGGGCTCAGAATTGGGCTTGATTTGACATTTAGTCGGCCCATTAAATATTAGTATCCATGTTGGGCTTGGGTTTTCCATTGAAGCGGCCCATACGATGCACCTCGCCGTCGCCGACCGCATCGCCTCCCCGCGACCTTTAATGCGACGGGGGGTTAATGTTCTCAACGATATCGACCTCTTTCCCCTTCGCTTTCCCAGATTATTCTCTGTCTGCATGTAGAGAGACGAATGGAGCAAGAAGTAGACGAAGGAAGAGAGGCATCCGTCGTTACGGACGGGGTGCTCTACGAGATCCGCCGCCACGCGACGGGGGATTTCCCGTCGGATTCATCTCTCCCACCGGTCCCTTCCCTTTTCATCTCGTTTTCTTTTGATCTTGCCCTGCTACACCATCTCTTATCGTCTGCTGATTTCCTCATCCCTCTTTACGCGTTTTGCTTGTTTCGATCCAGGTCGGTGACAGTTCCAGTGGCGGATTGCTGTCGTATCTCTCTCTTCGAGGTATGATTTGTCTACATCCTGTGATCACCTTCGCTCTTTTGCAATTCTCCATGACTCGAATTAGGGTTCTTTAGGTTGGTGTTTGATGATGATGGAACGTATGCCTTTGGGTTTTAAGTGGGATAGGTTGCGAAGATATGGTCTCCTTGTTACTTGGGGTTGGGCAAGATGATCTAGGCTGATGATGTCGTATCTCAGCCAAGATCATTTGATAGAACGTATGTCTTATTGTTGTCGCATCTCTCTCTTCGAGGTATGATTTGTCGAAATCTTGTGATCACCATCGCTCTTCTGCGATTCTCCATGACTCGAATTAGGGTTCTTTAGTTTGGTGTTTGATGATGATGATAGAACGTACACCTTTGGGTTTTAAGTGGGATAGGTTGCGAAGATCTGGTCTCCGTGTTTCTTGGGGTTGGGCAGGATGATCTTGGCTGATGATGTTGTTTGACTATTATTTGATGAAGGTGTGAACCAACTTAAGGAGAGGTGGTACGGGTACAGCAGACCAAGGGCAAATAAGAAGAGGGTATCGCTTTTTGTCTCCCCCCGTGGCGAGCATGTGGCTGTTGCTGCTGAAAATCGAATTACCATTTTGCACAAGGATGATGACTATATGGAGCCTTGTGGTGTATTTACATGTAAGTTAACATAAGTTATTTGATGGGAGTACTGTTGCTTTGATACTTTTGCATCATATTTTTTTGAATATTGTTTTGACACACTCCTTTTTTCTTTTAACTTGATATTCTTAGGTTACCTTCATGAATACATGGTTGATGGTGTTGTTTTCTTTGTCATGGTTTAGAAAGGAATTGTTCTGTTTGTGTTCCTTGAATTGCATATTTTGATATATTCTTGTTTTGGATTGAAATTCTAAGTTTGTATTATACAGTCATATCTCTTGATGTTTAAAGTTGTTCTATTTTTTGTGTTTTCTAATTATCTATAGTTTATTTTTAACATTTTAATATTTTCATCAAACATGTTTTCTAATTGATTCACCCAATAGTCTGATCAGCAATCCAGTGACCTAAGGCTTGGCTGTGTTACCATCCAGTTTGGTTTTAATGATTGTGATGAAATCCATGGATGATCTTACTCATTATAACTTTTCTGACTATGAGTTATACTGAAGTAGCATTATTGCCTTGCAATACTATACTCGAAATAGAGTGATAAACCCATTGCAGGATCAGCACGAGCAATTATGGAAGTCTGAAAACCAGGGTCTATCATTTTGGGTGAACTTTGGTCATCCTCTGATGGGGTTCTAATGATTGTGATGAAATCCATAGATGATCTTGCTCGTAACATTTCTAACTATGAGTTATATTGAAGTAGCATTATTTTTATCTTCTTTATCCTTTCTCTATGCATATTGGATACATAGCTTCAAGTTTTATACTTGTATCTCTCTTGGACAAGGCAATTAGCTTGTTATTTCATATACAAAATTTCATGCTGCAGTCTATGTTGTAAATATGATAGTGTAGCCACCATTTTGCAAATCGAGTGTAGCTTAGTGATGATATATGTAAAAAAAAATAGATAGCTTCTTTCATATACTCCTTTTTTCACATTGTGTTATCAGGCAATGATATGCAAGCAGTCTTCAACAGTGGAGCTTGGGTAGAGCCTTTGGGAGTTCTTGTCATAATCGATGACATGAGTACACTATATTTCATCAGAGCAAATGGGATGGAAATAACAAGGAGAACGAGGGTTCAGCTGAAGTTATCTTCTCCTATCATTGACCTTTTTGTACAGGAAGACCTAAACTCAAAGAACACTTCCTTGTAAGTTGCATATTTGAGTACTTAGTCTAGTACCTGACTATGTCTATTGTAGAGTGAATGTCAAATATCTTACATTCATAGGGTTAAATGAAGTGAGGTTTCTGGCAGGTGTGGCATCTCCATTATTACAGCGGATGGTTTGATGCATTACATTCAGATAACGGAAGAGCCCAATATATGTGTACATCAGTTACCTACTTTGAGGGGTCGCTTACATTGTGGACAGTTGCCACATATTACGTGCATGGATTTTCATCCTGATCTTTCTTTGGCAGCTGTAGTCTGTGACTCCTGTGTCTCAGTGGACTCTAAGGACCGTACTGGTATGGTTGCACATATTAATCTCAATATGAACTCCATTTAATAGTTCTTTAAAATGTAGCACGTTTTACGAAACCATCAGTTACGATGGAGCAGAACACTAATGTGATTTGTGCTGCTGTATTTACTCGTTTGTCTAAATGTATGGATGAGGACAGCTAATCTCTTATTTAATGAATTCAATTTGTTTTAGGAGAATATTCCCTATTTGTGTCTCGAGTTAAAGCAAATTCAGAAATAGAGCTACTTGTTTCTGGTGATAAACTGGAGGGATCATTTGCTTCTCCCAAAGGATGTTTAAATCACTGCAGTCATCCAAAAGTGGCAATATCACCCCAGGGAAAATATGTGGCTACTCTGGATTTTATGGGTTGTGTAGATGTTTTCAAACTTGATCTTGAACTACATTCTCTTTCTCTTCTTTCTTTTCCTGCAAAGCAAAAATCAGAGAAAGCAGATAGTTTAGCATTTGAAAAGAAGAAATGCTTCTTTGATGTTGTTGATGTCAGTTGGTGGGCTGATAATATTCTCATTCTTTCCAATATGAATGCCTCTATCACCATGTATGATACCCTTAATTGTGTAAAAGTTTCAGAAAATGATCCCATATTTTGCATGCCACTCATCGAAAGAGTCAAGCATCATCAAGGATTTGTTTTCATCTTGGAGAATGCATCATCTGGTAGTATGTCAGTAAATTCCCAGCAGATTGAGGATGTCACTAGTGGAAATTACATTGAACGAGATGCTGCCAGATCAAGCTGGACTCTGATGTCATTTTCTGAGAGATCTGTTTCAGAAATGTATACTATTTTGTTAAAAAGTCAAAAATACCAGGATGCATTGGAGTTTGCTTCTCATCACAGATTGGATACTGATGAAGTTTTCAAAGCACAGTGGTTGGATTCTTTCCAAGGCATCCCTGAAATTAATCTATACCTGTCAAAAATTAAGGATATGGTGTTTGTACTGTCAGAATGTGTAAATAGAGTTGGAACGACTGAGGATGGTGTGCAGGCTTTACTTTCTCATGGGCTTCGTATCAGTGACCGGTACGAATTTTCAGATTCTGATGTCAGCGACTGCAGCTCATTCTGGAACATCCGGATGTTTAGACTTCAACTGTTGCAGTTCAGGGACAGATTAGAGACATTTATGGGGATAAATATGGGAAGGTAATTGACTTCTTTGATTTCTGATGGCAAGCATATTCGTTTTCTGGATTTGTTGCAATATAAATTTTATTTGTATATTTTACTGATCTCAATCTCTATCTGTGATGCAACCAGATTTAGTTGCAGTTAAGAATTTTTTTAATAATTCTAGGTTCTGTCGAGGGAGTCAGGTAGGAATCTTTTGGAAGCACAGTTGGTTGGTGATTTAAGAAGCTTGGATCCACAACATAGAAGTCCTAGGAAAGAACAGTTGATTGGTGGTTTAGTTAGTCAAGTTCAGATCCTTAGTGGCTAAATGTATCGTGTTGCCATCAGTAGCTCTTATTAGTAAGGAGACCTACAAGGGCTCAAAGGGTCCAGAATTAGGAGAACATCACTGAGAACGATAGTAATGATTTTTCCTCATTATAATCTGGAAAGAAAATCAATTTTCATGCAGTGCCATAATTGGTATATACGGTTTATCATGCTAAGCTACAGTTACCGGAATGTGCAGGTTCCATAATGCATGCAACATATATGTGAGCCCTATTACCTCCATGCTAAGTGTCTTTTTCACTGAGAAGCAAAATGATATTAGCTAATGCAAACATATCAAATACGTTTGCTAGTCCAAATTTTACTCTGGTAAATGTCCCTATATCTTAAATTTAGAAATTCTGCATGTCTTTTCATTAGCATTAGGCTCTCTCACACATCTGTTCTGTGCTGTCACTGTTTATGGCCCAATAGCAAGAAGGTTGAGAAAAAAACTGCCCCACTAGCATGAATCAGAATTTTGTTTATGTTTCTGTTTATGGTACCTTAAGATTGAGTTTAAGTTCATTAGAAAAAGACAGTTGCAGTTCAAAGAAAACGCTCAGATCCATTTGATTTTGCTATTCATCTACTTGGATTTTCTTTAATCATACTGGTTTTAATTTTTTCGTGCATTTACCTATTGATTTCATTTTCTTTAGGTTTTTGGCACAGGAATATTTCAAGTTTCGATCTATGCCTCTCACTGAAGCTGCTGTAGCTCTTGCTGAAAGAAGCAAAATTGGGGCCCTTAATTTGCTCTTTAAGCGCCATCCATATTCAGTTTCTCCAAGGATTTTGGACATCTTGTCTTCTATTCCTGAAACAGTTCCTGTTGAATCATATTGTCAGCTCCTACCAGGGATGTCTCCTCCTAGAACAATTGCTTTAAGAGATGCAGACTGGGTAGAGTGTGAAAAGATGCTGTCCTTTTTGGACACATTGCCAAGTAAATCAGAAAAGAGCAACCAAATTTTTACAGAAAATTTACTGAAAATTTGTACAGGCTATGTTTGGCCATCAGCTTCTGAACTATCTTCTTGGTACAAGAACAGAGCTAAAGATATTGATAATTTGAGTGGACAGTTGGATAATTGCTTTTCTTTGGTTGAAATTGGATGTCGCAATGGTATTTTGGAGTTGCAACAATTTCTGGAAGATATCTCATACTTACGTCAAATAATTTATTCTGACGGTTTTGATGAAGTATTTACTATGAGTCTTGTCACTTGGGAGCAACTATCAGACTACGATAAGTTTAAAATGATGCTCAAGGGAGTCAAAGAAGACATAATAGTTAAAAAGCTGCGGGAAAAAGCCATTCCCTTTATGCGGAACCGATGTAAGTTGGAGGCTTTTGATTTTGCTGATGAGACAAAGGCTGGTGATAAAGAGTCATTTCTAATTAGATGGTTGAAGGAGATTGCTGCAGAGAACCGTTTAGACCTATGTTTGGCAGTCATTGACAAGGGTTGTGGGGACTCACCGATTGATGGACTATTTAAAGATGAAGTAGAAATAATAGAAACAGCACTGCATTGCATTTATTCATGCACCCTTACAGATCAGTGGAATGTGATGGCATCCATTTTGTCAGAGCTTCCACGAAATATTTTAAGAGATAATTTGTTTGCCACCGACGAAGATTTTAGTCCAAGGCATGCTAATCAGTATTTTGAAACTTCAAAAGTTTCTTATGTGAAGTATGGCCTGGGAGGTTCCACTTCAGATGATTCTAGAGGATCTGATGGCAAGTCGGACATTGATGCAACTGCTGCTAAGGTGGAGAAGAGGATAAAAATTGCAGAGGGCCACGTAGAAGTTGGAAGATTGATGGCATATTATCAGGTTGGATCTTTTTAGTTGCATATCGTCAAGTTAGTAGATCGAAGCTGTTAGTGGTACACTAGGAAGATCTGAAATTTATCTAATAAGGAATCGTAACAGCATATTCTTTGATGCCTTTTGCATGATGAATTATATCTTTCTTTATTTTTTTTAGGCCTACTAATAATAAATGTTTATACGAGCTACTGCCTTATCACGGAAGTTTACAAGTGCGATTCAAATATTAATTATATCTACTTGACTAATGAATAATTAATATTCATGCTTGCTTGCCTCTTGCTTTTGCAGGTTCCAAAGCCAATATCTTTCTTTCTAAGTGCTCAATCTGATGAGAAGAATGTGAAACAACTTCTTCGTCTGATTCTGTCGAAGTTCAGCCGTCGACAGCCTACCAGATCAGATAATGATTGGGCAAGCATGTGGCGTGATTTGCTATCCTTCCAGGAAAAAGCATTTCCTTTTCTTGATTTAGAGTATCTTCTAATAGAATTTATTAGAGGGCTCCTAAAAGCTGGAAAATTCTCCCTTGCAAGAAACTACCTTAAAGGGACAGCCTCAGTTTCTTTGGCTCCTGGAAAGGCTGAAAATCTAGTCATTCAAGCAGCAAGAGAATATTTCTTTTCAGCTTCTAGTCTGTCTTGCAGTGAAGTGAGTATCATGCACCAAAATTCTGTGTTGTGCATATGCTATTATTTACTTAGTAACATGGATTTTTTACTTTATGGGGTGCTGATTTTAGATCTATACTTCTATTATTATGGTAAGCATCTGGTAATATCATATGATACTTATGTGCCATGGTTACCTAAAGCTTGTTCTAGCCGATCTTGCTTCTGTTATGTATAAAAATGTAGAGTGAATGTTCAATTGAAAAAAAGGTTAAGGTGTTTAGATTACAGAGAAACGTCGTTTGGTAATATTGATAAGGGTCACTGTTTCATCATTTGGATCAGCTTAAGCAGCTTGGAGTACACACTTTACTGTGCCATGCAAGAACTTATGGTCACAGTGTACCCTAAATAAGTTTTTTTTATGTTGTGGTCCTGTGGATAGTATTTTATTCTTGCTTCATTGATGCAAATACATCTGCATCTGGTTGATCTGAAAAATTTTCTAATTGACAGGTCTAAAAGTTGATATCTGTTTGCTTGTGCACAACTGTAAACACCCATGCAGCCAACCATTTTTGTATGAAATGACCTCTTATCTTTCTGCTTAGACTTTAGACCTATTCGATGAAGATGATAACTAAGGTTTTCTTAATGTAAAAAATGGTGCATATGTTTGCATGGTTTATTTATTTGTGATAAATTGTTCTTATGTTAGTTGCAAACCATGTTGTGGATTACTAAGCTGAAATTATACTACACATCTGTAACTTGTTCAAGGTTGAACATCAGTTATGTTGCTTTATATAAATATCCTACCTTTTTGTAATCCATATTAGGACACTTTTTACCCTCTTGCAGATCTGGAAGGCTAAAGAATGTTTAAGCCTCTTGCCAAGTAGCGAAGCTGTTAAAGCAGAAGCTGATATGATTGACGCTCTCACTATTAGACTTCCAAACCTAGGGGTGACTCTTCTACCCATGCAGTTTAGACAGATAAGAAACCCAATGGAAATCATAAATATGGTGATCACATGTCAAACTGGTGCTTATCTAAATGTAGAAGAGCTCATTGAGATTGCCAAACTTCTTGGTTTGAGCTCCCCAGATGATATAGCAGCTGTAGAAGAAGCTGTGGCCAGAGAAGCTGCAGTTGCTGGTGATCTGCAATTGGCTTTTGATCTTTGTCTAGTTCTTGCAAAAAAAGGCCATGGATCCATTTGGGACTTGTGTGCTGCAATTGCACGGGGTCCCCATCTTGATAATATGGACTTGAGTTCTAGGAAACAGCTGTTGGGTTTTGCTTTAAGCCACTGTGATGATGAATCCATTGGGGAACTACTGAATGCATGGAAGGAGGTAGATACACATGTTCAATCTGAGAATTTAATAACTTTGACAGGCACTAATCCACCAAGGTTCGTTAGCAAAGGATCTTCAGTGTCACCACTTTCTGTATATTGCACTCCTGACATATTTGACCTACCAAATGGCTCTAAGCCTATGCAACATGTCTTGTATCCAGATGGTGGAAATGATGATGATCAAGTTCAGTATAATCAAATCAAAGATGTACTTTCGAGAGTCGGCGTCGATCTATTGACCGATGATGCCATTTGTTGGGACACTATTTTAAGAGAAAATAAGAGAGTCCTCTCATTTGCTGCTTCAGAACTTCCTTGGCTTCTTGATTTGTCAGAAAGAGAAGAATATGGTAAACTATCTACTCTTGGGGCAAGACATCAAGTTTCTACAAGAATGCGAGCATTGCTAAGTATTCTCTGCTGGATGGCTGGGAATAATATTGCTCCAGCTGATGATACGATCAAGTCTCTTGCCAATTATATTATGGAACCTCCTATCACCGAAGAGGATGATGTCCTTGGATGCTCATTTTTGCTGAATCTTGTGGATGCTTTTCATGGAGTAGAAATTATCGAGGAGCAGCTAAAAAGAAGAGACAAATATCAAGAAATATACAGCATCATGAACATTGGAATGGCATATTGTTCGCTGTACAATGCTCAGGAAAAATGCTCAAGTGCTGAACAAAGAAGGGAGCTGTTGCTGCAAATGTTTCATGATAAGCAGGCATCCTTCTGCTCAGGTATATTCCTATAATTAGTTCATAATCATTTTATGTATGCCTATTCTAGTATTACATCATGCATTTAGTTCGAAGGATATGTCTCGTGACTTGCATGATGATTCTAATTTGAGGTCATTAGAATTCCATTAAGGTTGGGAGATTGTGGCAGTAAAAATGACAAAATACGAGTTTGTTATGCATAAAATTCATATGACACGGACTTTTGAGTCTTAAGTTACAAAATCATGTTTTGATTTTCATATACGTTTAAATTAGTTAAAGAAGATCTAAAGGATGAGATCAACACAGTCAGCAATGACATTTCTTCGTGTTGGTGATGCTCACTTCTTTTCACGTCTTTTTCAGATGCAATGGTACAGATAGACAAGGTGACATCAACATTTTGGAGAGAGTGGAAGATAAAACTGGAAGAGCAGAAAAGACTTGCAGATCATGTAAGAGATTTAGAGCGAATAATGCCTGGAATAGAAGCTGCTCGCTTTTTATCTAGGGATATGGAGTACATAAAAGGTGTTATTTTCTCCTTCATTGATTCCGTAAAGCTGGAGAAGAAACACATTCTTAAGGAAGCAGTGAAGTTGGCAGACACTTATGGTTTGGACCGCATTGAGGTATTTCGCTTCCTCCTCCCCTGCATTTTTTCTTATTACATGTGCTAAGCAGTAGCAACTTTTTCTTTTTTTTTCCAGGTAATATTGCGTTTCTTTGGTTGTGCCCTTATTTCTGAACATTGGGGAAACAACGATATTCTGGCAGAGATTTCAGAATTTAGGAATGACATTGTCAAATGTGCCAATGGAGTTATTGATATGATTCACTCAGTCGTCTACCCAGAGATTGATGGGCGCAACAAGGAAAGACTTTCCTACATGTATAGCATACTCTCAGCTTGCTACTTACGCCTAAAAAAGGTTGAAGACCCAATGCTAATGACATACCAAGAACAAGGACATATGCATATACTCGAGCCGTTCCAATTTTACAAAGTTCTTGAACAGGAATGCCAAAGGGTCTCCTTCATTGAGAATTTGAACTTCAAAAATATTGCTGGTTTGGATGATTTGAACTTTGAGCATTTTAATGAAGAAATCTGTAATAACATCCATGAACCTACAGTGGAAGCTCTAGCAGAATTGGTGCAGGCTCTTGTTGGTATTTATGATAATTCACAAGCCAAGGGTCTCATATCAATGGAAGGTGTCTACAAGCACCATGTCCTAGGTATTTTGGCATCTTTAGAAGGTCGGAATGAAGCTAGGTCAGATAGTATAAAAGCTCATGAGTTGCAAGCTCTTTTAATGGGAATTGAGCTGAATTATGATAAATGCAAGAAGTATGTTAGAGCTCTTTCAGAAGCAGATATATCATATATTGTTGGGAGATTCTGCACTCTCTGTTTTCCTAGTAATTTTTCACGGAGCCTACCAGAGGAACTTGCATGGAAGGATTGTCTTATTGTTCTTTTGACACTTTGGATCAAGCTGGTTGATGATATCCCAGAGAAGTTAACCAGTAAATTCTCTGAAGAAAAGCGAGTCTGCACTGGTACCAATAATCTTTTAAGATGTCTGGAAGTGTTTAAAAGGATTTTAATTGATGATGAGATTTCAGCAAATCAAGGTTGGAATGCCATTTCCAACTATGTTGTACATGGTCTTATGGATGGTTCAATATCACACGTGTCATCCTTTTTAATAGCTATGATATTTTCAGGGTGTCCATTTAAATCAATTGGCGAAGCATGTTATGAAGAACTGCTTTCAGAATTCTCCGGTCAGAATACTACATATAAATATCTTATAGAACTTTATACGAATCTGATGGATAGGGCCCTAGCAGACTTGAGCATGGAATTTGACAGACACCAGAATTTGCATTACTTGTTGTCGTCTTTGAGCAGATTGGCAGGTAATTATGTGGAAGAACTTAAAATGATCAGATCAGAAGTCTGGGTAAAGCTGAGGGCATTTTCAGATAATATGCAGTTACCAAGTCAAACTAGGTTATATGCGTTGCAGCTAATGCAGTGTATCACAGGAATAAATCTCAAAAGCCTTCCAGATGAAATTGTCTTCGAGGTGGAACCTTGGGAAGGTTGGGATGAGTCTATCTGCACAAAGGTCACTGGAACTTCTGAAGGAGCTGAAATCTCTAGTAGTATTACAAGTACTTTGGTCGCATTTAAATCGACTCAGCTGATTGCAAAAATTTTACCAAATATTGAGATCACTCCAGAAAACCTGATGACCCTTGACTCAGCTGTCTCTTGCTTCTTACATTTATCTGAAAGTGTTACGACTGTTGAAGATCTCAATGTTCTACAGGGTGTTTTGGAAGAATGGGATGAGTTCTTCTCTACAAAGATGGATAAGGAAGAGCAAAATGAATCCCCAAAAGAATCAAACAACTGGAGCAGTGATGAGTGGAATGATGGATGGGAAGAGCTAGTTGCTCCAGAAGTAAAGCAACAGGGATCTGTATCTGTTAAGCGCCTTCATGCTTGTTGGATGGAAATCATCAAAAGGCTCATTGGACTTTCTGAACTTCATCGTATCATGGAGTTGCTTGATAAATCATCACTAAAATCTGATAATGTGCTTCTGAATGAAGAAGAAGCTCATTGCTTGTTTCAGCTGGTGGTTGGGATGGATTGCTTTATGGCCCTTAAATTGCTCTTGCTGCTCCCATATGAAGCTCCCCGCTCTCAGTGCTTACGTGTGCTCGAGAATAATCTAAAAACTGGAAGTATTTCGGATGCATCTAGTGCAGCTGATTATGAGCTTCTTGCTATACTATTATCAGCTGGGGTTGTACATGATATTGCCAACGATCCATCTTTCTGCAAAGTATTCTCATATGTCTGTTATTTAGTTGGTCTTCTTGCTCGGCTGCTACAGGAAGATCTGCTTAATTCTTGGGAGGGTAATGGAAGTAGACCTAAACAAAATCAGTTATCAATATTTAGCAGAATTTTGTTGCCATTTTTCATATCTGAGACTGTATGTGGAGGTCAGCCTTTGATAGCTGGGTTTATTGTATCAAGGTGGATGCACACACACATATCCCTTGGTGTGATTGATGTTGTGGAGGCTAGTCTTAGAAGGTATTTGGAACAGCAAATCCTCCAAGTACAGACTTTAGTTGGTCATGAGTTTGGTTTTGCAGAGGATTCCTCTGGAGTCTTAGTGTTTACTTATTCTTGTTTAAGACATAAGTTGGGTAACCAGCTGCAATCTGCATTATTGGCCCTTCCTAAGATTGATACTAGATAAGCATTGTGATAGAATGGTAGAGTCCATTACTGCTATTGTTCATGTACTGGGAGGTCTCCCAAACTGGTCACTGTAGTTAACAACTTTGTTTACAAGAATGCTAGAATCTATAGATGAGAAATCTTTTTAAGGCTAATTGTTGATGCGAGCCAATGTGGCCTTGATATTAAGTTGTGTCTAAAATTCATCTCGTGGATTTAATGTTTAAACTCTAATGTTTTACATATTTAAAATTTTTAATTTGTATGAGTAAGTTGATATTAGACATCACAGTGCATCGTGTGCTTTGCATTTTAGTCGGGGATACCTTTCCTTCTTCGTTTGTTTCTTTGCTATTGTTGAGCTTAAATCCCTGCAAAGTTCAAGTTGTTGCTTCCGTGTCTGTTTTATGACATTAACTTAATGATAACTCACATTATAGAAGTTTTCCCATCAAGATATCCAACCTCTTACTTCCAAGATCGAAGGATATTGGAATCTTGAATCCAAAAGGTTTATGTTTCATCTCTTTACTGTTTATTTCATTTGGTCATGTTTTATCATCGATATTTAGTGTTTCATTTTTCAGATTTTTTAATGATTTGTTGTCAGCAAAAGGCTTCTTTAGTTGCTCTTTGAAAACTCCTATCATGTTCTTTTAATAATTTTGAAAAAAAAATAATACTTTAATAAATCAAATTTATTATGTTTTTCCAAATGAGTGTCAATGTTTTTCTTGTTTTTGGACAGGATTGTATTGTTTGTATTAGTTCATGGCAGAAGATGCTAGCTGGCATGTTCTTATTGATCATCAAACAATAAGCAGGGTTGGTTTTTTGATTCTGTAGGTCATATTTATGAACTTCTCTTTCCAATGCTTTAGTTGGAAGTTCTGTTTTTCTGTCATTCTATTTTTTGAAAGATTAGGTAGGGAATATTCTATCATAGTTTCCATATATTTCTCATACTTCTATGTCATTTCCATTCATCTACATGGAAAATTGTTCTTACATCGGTGGACATTATGGTTTATTAAATCCAACATGTCCATATTCCTTTTTTGGGCTTCGAAAAGAAACATGTCCATAATCTGTGGATAACTCCTTTTCTGGGCTTTGAAAAGAAACATGTCCATAATCTGTGGATAACTACTTTCTAGAGTTCAAATCTACTATGGACCTGTAATCTATATCTAAATCTTACTTCGAAAGTGCTTATGCGGTGATTTTTTTTTTTGGGTCAACTTGAAGGTTATTTGTTTCAAGATAAATTTAATCATTGAACAGTTATTGATCGATATTGGAATTGTTATTTTTTAGTATGATTAATTGAATATCAAAGAATATTCTTTCCTTTTCTTATCCTAATGTTTGAAGGTCATGCTAAATTGAAGTATAATTGGCCCCCATGAAGGATGCCATGTTAACTATCTATTTGAGTGGCAAAAAAGAAGATATTTTTTATGTGATTCAGTAGCTTTTGCATATGTTTAGAGTGCAGGAACAGCAGCCAGATGTGCATGATGCTAAGCGATGTGACTGCTTATGTAATCACCCAAGCGATGTGCAGATGCCCAACAATTTGTTTATGGCAGGCGCTGTTAGTCTAATAAATGATCTAACGAACCTGTCATATTGAAGCTGATTGATATAGGGGTATGTAAGAGATGACCTGTAAGTTCTTTTACGGCATACATAATACTTTCCATTTCTGTTATGAATTTGCAGGATCAGATTTCTATTTCTTGGATCTGTAAATGAACCAAGAAAAATGATAAAGATTCTTTTTAGTTTACTACTGTTTCTTTGTATTTGTATGTGCGGTAGTTTCATTGATGTAGTCTATGTTAGACAACCACCGAGTCTTATTGATGCTCTGCACCACTGTCACGTTACTCTGCTGCCGTGCATGGCATTTTTTTTGGCATCTCAGTATGTTTCGCAAATTACTATTATCTTTTTTTGTGAAAAGAAATATTATGACTACACATAAATATCTGCTTTATTGTTATGAGTTGTTAGTAATGCATATATCTTAGTTGAAGTCCTGTCTATCGTTCATGGTGATTACTAATGTAGCTCATTCTGGTTTAAGCCATGCAGAAATTTCTTGAGATCTTATCATATTCACACTTTTGGTTCAGTTGCAAAACTTTTTCCTGAACCATAACTTAATTATGGTTCAGGAAAAAGTTTAATTAGGAAAAAATATAAAAGGTTGATTGAAGTTCTCAAGGTTTGTGTCTCTGAAAAGGTTTCCATGCTCATAGTTCTCCTGCTCCCCATTGTCATGATTAATATGCATGAGTAAGGTTTCCATCTTACTTATTTGGATGGCACATTAGGTGCAGTTTTGAGCTGCTGCTTTGATACTAATGCTCTATTAGCTGTTTCTAGTTTTAACTTATTTTGCAGCATAGAGCGGATATGGTTTGAGTTAAAAATGTCGGTTTTGTATTGTGCATCCATCGATCAAGTATTTGTTGTGTTGCAGTCCTTCAGCGGTATTTCTTCCTTCATCTTACGGTTTTGCTCCAGCCGTTGCCCGACCGACTCTTGTACTGCAACAAGCAGAGGATTCATTGTAAGTTTTCATCAGTATTTACCCATCATCTGTTGGATTCTAATTTGATTTGCCTTTACCTTTTGTTAGCAGCCATGGTTCCTTTCTCTCCCTTGCTACAGAGAAGGAAGATATAAGCTGTGGTGTCTGTCTGTCTGATGGAGAATGCAATCGATATATCCAAGACACAACAGATTGCGATCAAAGTAGGTAAAGCTTCTTCTCATAACGAATGTCTTGAAGCCCTACTACATCTGCAACATGTTTAGATCTGACTTTTACTCCAAATTTTTTTTGTTTATTTGCTTGTTTGATCCTCTGCATTCCTACATGATGTGGTAACCTCGGCAGATGAGTTCTATTTCAGTATGGATTTACAAGTATTATTTTAAATTTCATAAATGTTAAAATTCCTCAACAATTGATGATCAGAATAATTTCCGAAAAGCTATAATAATTGAAACTCAACAGTAACCAAAAGAAAATTTTGCGATGTTTTTGACACATAAAGCAGCGTTCTTATGATTACAGAAGACAATGGACGCTGCTGCCGCTGCTGCTGCTAGTTTGATTCCAGCTGCTAAACCCCCTCCGCGGCAACCTCCTGAGCCTGAGCCTGAGCCTGAGCCCGCTCTTCTGGGTTGGCGTCAGCGCGGCAAGTCGGGCAGGAGCTCCTCGCCGCCAGCCACCGGTCGATGCACCGGACGTGGAAGCCGTGGTTGCACGCCGGCAGCACCCGGACGGGGTCGCCCTCGCAGAATTCCGCCAGGCAGATGGCGCAATCCGCCCCCATTCCGGCCAGCATCGTCCCCGCCGCCGAGAATAGCATCGTCGGCGTCACTGCCGCTGCAGGCTTCTCCTCGGGCTCCTCCGAAGTTCCGCGGCGGTGGCGGCGACAGAAGAGTAGGCGGATGGCGGCGCCGAGCGAGAGGGCGAGGAGGATGGTACAGAAGAGCGCGGCGAGGACGAGGGCCATGCTGGCGCCGAAGTCGCTGGCCCCGGAGTAGGGCCCCCACTTGTCGCTGGTGGCGTTGCTGGCGCTGGCCCTTGTGGGCGGCGGAGGGTGTAGGATCGCGTCGTCTGCGTGCGGGACCGGCATGGTTGTGTGCTCCTTGGAGCTGCGGGAGGCGGCGACGGGGAGAGGAGAGTTCGCCGCTGCTTATCTCTTGTGTGTTTGATTTTGGCTGCAGTGGTTGGGTGCATGGTGGACATGGTTTAGCTGGCAAAGTAATTATACGACCAGGTGAGATTACTTTTGGTTCGTGCTTTCTGTTTCCAAAAGCAAAAACACCAAGGAACGGTGAAAATGGCTGTTTTCTAAACGTACGTCTTTCGTTTCTGACTCTAATTGTATTGTTTCTGGGACCTTCCAGGGGGAGCAAGGAACAGAATCTCGAGATGCCACCATGGGATCTGTAGCAAAACGTTCACGGAGTTAATTCTCGGAAGCAAAGAAGCTCTTGGGAGGGGAAGAAGGGTAAACTCGTATCTATATTTTCCATTAATTTTCATCAGCAGAAGCAAAAAATTCCAATCTTTCATAGCAACCTTGGAAATGACATATATTGTTACTAGTTGGTGTAGGTGAACCAACCGCTTGCCATAATTAATTAGCATGCACCTTGCACTTCATGATAGGCTCATTTAATGCCCCACCTTTTTTTTGAAGTAAAATATTTGTTCACTTTTCACAGCATAAAATTATTATTTCATGACGTTACTGTGATGATCAAATTTCATTCTCTACTGATCTGTTTGTTACAGAGCTACTTAGTTTTACTATTGATTTTGTTTTTGCACGTAGGAGCATGCAGTCACTTGTTCTTATCTATCACAATCGTCGTGTAAGGACAAAAGAGATGAGAGTCCACAAGATGTATCAGGTGGGTCACACTAATTAATGAGAGACCCAATCAATCAACAATGGAAGAATTGCCGTGTGAAGTCGAGGACAAAACGTATCACTCATCATAAATGGATGAATTATTTAGTATGTCGTGGAGAATGCTTCTCCGAGTTGATGGGTTGTGGATATACTCCTAACGTCACTACTTGCAAGTCCTTATCAGAGATAAAAATATGGGGCGGATATGGGCTGAGTAGGAGAAACCTTTTGAAGCCCAGTTTCTTAATGGGCCGTAGTTGGGCTATGAGATGGCACTCCGATCTGCGTACATTTGTGAAATTTCTTATTGTTCTGTGATGACCGCCTGTTCTCTACTGGCATTTATTATTGAATTTGAATTATCTAATTTTATCGAGTTTAGTGTGTGTATGCCAATAAATTATTTTAAAGAATTAATGTTCACCTTTTGTAACAGAGCTTCCTGAACAATAAGAATCTGCCACACCAAAAGAATTTGATGACACAACTTCCACATCACGTAGGACGGAGGAATATCAAAAATCTCAAATTTCACGATGACAATACCACTTCACGTTGACAATACGAATGATACGTACGACAAACAGTTATGGATAACCAATCGAAAAAGAGAATGACGACGCGTGCATGAGTGCTGCTGAATGAACAGATTGCCACCTGTAAGTGGGGTCCGGTCCGTCGTCAATATGATGATGCCCACGCCCGTCCTCCTGAGCTTAGATCTTCTTGATACAAAAGGCCGGGAGGTGACGGGGGACTCATGCCACCATCAAACAAACCGAACTTCTCAAGGAGCTTATTGGCCATCACCCCAGCCACATATGAGACACCAGATGCTGACACACCAAGGCTTAGGTAGTGGAAAAGAGTTTTCGTGTAGGCCCTTTGTGGCCCAACGTGGGCCTTCCCTGTAGCCAGCAGCGCAATGCATAGAAGGGATGCTGCAGCCACAGCTATGAGCTTGTGTTCCTTGTTGTCACTCCCCCTGAATGAGAAGCCGTAAACGACGGGAGGCACCGAACCAACTAAAAGGTATGATATTATGACAACAACAAAATGCAGGCGGAAGTTTGCTTTCCTCCCCAGCAATTCCCAGTATCGACCGGCTCTTTCATCCTCCTCGTGGTCAGTTGCCACATCTCGAGCAGTTCTCAACTCAAAAAGCTGTAGAAGAGTGCCTAATGTAAGCACTTACGTTGCTTTGCTTCAATTATGAACTAAATGAAGAGGGAAAAAAAAAAGTGCCACCAAAAAATTATCAACTTACTTTATGAATAATCAAAAGAAATCCACCAAACAGATTTGCCAGCCCTAAAGCAACGATGCTCACTGCAAAAGTCAGTAAAGTTAGAAAAATAATATCAGTATTTATTTCCAATTTTGGACTCGAAATTTCAACAAGGATGCCACAATTTCTTGCTGGAGATTGGAAAAATAAATGGCAGGTTAATAAGAAAAAGAAGCTAAAAGTATTGGTTAATGAAGCTAAATAAAATCGTCTGTAACTACTCGACTTGTTAGACGAGACTCGAAAGCTAAAGGATGCCACAATTTCTTGCTGGAGATTGGAAAAATAAATGACAGGTTAATAAGAAAAAGAAGCTAAAAGTATTACTTAATGAAGATAAATAAAATCGTCTGTAACTATTCGACTTGTTAGACGAGACTTAAAAGCTAAAGGACCAATAAGTCTAGCTCATTGATCCAGGTCAAGCATATATTTCTTTGATTCTGTGATGACTAGTTCCACCCAACTGAACGTCCCAGATTGTTTTCTTAAGAGGAAAATAATAATAATAATAACTTCTCTCGACCACCAACCTGACCTCACCCATTTCACTGGCTAAACATGTCAGATCTGATAAATCTTCATTCATTCATGCTGCAACAAAAACTTGACCTGATTACTTTTGGAATTGAGATGAGGATTTAATTTTAAAACTCACATGTTGAAGCATCAGCTGCAGCTGCTGATGACACGACACCCAGGCTGGCAATTGATTCAGCTAGACCTCCGTACACAATACTTTTCAGAACATCCCAGTCATTGCTTGTTTCAGGACCTCTGGCACTTTGCTCAGCTACATCAAGTCGAACATCTGAATGTGCCAACACTTCAGTGGCAGTTGCTTCTGAACGTTGAATTATCTGGTCATTTTCACTAGTTATTTGAATAGCACCATCCCCTGCATGAACATAAACAAAAGCTAAAGCTTAATATCTAGCATCACACATGTTTTTAGCATTTTGGACAACAAGGTTGCATCGTACACAAAAATAAAATGAATGCTGTCAGATAATAAGTAAAGAAAAGCACACAAAGAAAGTTAAGATAGATGATGCATATGCTGGATGAAAGTTTAACTGTGATTTTTTTTAATTTTAATATAAACGCCAAGTAATTTCCGGTTTAGAGAAGATGAAACAAATTCAAGTATAAGATAATATTAAGCTAAAATAAACTGCATAACTGTCTTTAGTTGGTGAGGAACTTACCAAATACTGATCATCTTTGACAACACAAGTTCATTTATTTAGCATGACTTGCACTGATTGCCAATCACATGTTTTTGACAAATGCAACAAGTAAATTGCTTAGAATGCCAAATCTAAGTATTCCAGGGAAATTTAAGCCAAATGTTCACTTCACTGGAACCAGAACAAATCGACACAAATTACAAGCATAATGAAGGTGCAGTAGAAACCAACCTGGTTGGCTTGGTTTCATTTGGCTTTTATCCGCTTTAAAAATCGATGGAATCCAATTTGTTTTTTTCTCGGGAACTTGCGGTGAACTTTGCGCATGAATTTTCTTTCCTTTCTCAAATATCTGGAATATGTTAAAACCACCCTCTGTTCAAAATCAGAAGAGAGCAATCATTATATGCACTTAAAAAAGACTGCTTTGGATTCCCCATCAATTCAAGGTCAAATATAATAAATAAAAAACCAGACATAGTACTCAAAACCATGATTTCCCTTGCTGCAGCATGCCCCAGGACAGCACTACTGATTCAGCGTGAGGATTGAGGAATGAGCTCTAAAATCCTCTATGTAAGCATATACCAGCATGACAACAGTATCAAACAGGAAAGGTAAATTTGGTTGCCACGGAGCAGAACAGCTGATACAGGCGATCCATTCTAGAAACAACTGTCTTTATACCATATGAAACACATACATAAGCAGAATTAGCAAGTGCAAACCTGTTGGCATGAAGAAGCTGAAGCATGATAAACATCTGAATACATCTGGCTCCGGTGCATCACTTGGATTTGTCATTCCAGTATCCGACTTCCCAGCATCATATTTTTCTTCGTTCACTTTCTTAGAAGGCCCACCATGTTGAACCATCCTTTTTCTTTTACGTAAAATCACCTTTTTTGTTATACACGAGTCACAAATAGGACAGTACAAATCATGAGTATCCTGTTCCTCAAGTATCCTCTCAAGATCAAATTCTACCGCTTTTTGTTTACTCTCTTTTGGTAGCTTAATCTGTTGTTGTACAGCCATTTCATCTTGACTTTCTGATGTTTCAGAAGAACATTGTGAACTTGATCCATTTTCCATCTTCATATTATTTAAGGCATGATTTACTTCTTCAGTTGATATATCCTCCCAAGTAGCAATCTGGTCATCCTTTTGGGGCATCAAGCCACCAGTCTCAACTGCAACTGCAGTGTGTGCTGTCACATAGCATGTTGGAAAATTTGTTAATCCTAATGTTTCAAGTAACAGGAACTATAAAAGCACATCAAATAACAACAAAAAGATGCAATATGAAGACCATGGAAATCTGGATCCAGTAAATATGCAGGAAAAATCATCAATCAAAGACTGAGTTGGAATAGATGCAGTACCGACACTTTCATACTCCTTCAGCCAAAGATAAAAGAAAAATGATTGTATGTTTCCAACCACCAAAAGTGGACTATAATAGATCGAAAACTTAAAAAGAGTTCCAGCAGAGCTTATCTTACAGCAGAACATGAAGCTTAGTAACAATTTGTGAAATCCAACACATTTTTTCCTTTCAGTTTTTCCAATCTCTAACCAAAACAAATTTGTAATTGATATTCTCTGGATCCCATTCTTCATGAATATTTCCATTCTCTACGAATCCGGCCCTCTACGATAATACAATTTTTCACCGGTAACATGAACAACAAGATCTAAGATTAGCTGATTTGGTTTGAGGATATCAAATCTCAATATCATCAATAGGTTAATTGAGTGTTTGATCAACACGGTTGACATGGTTAGTCTAAACAAAAAGAAAACACAGCGAAGAACCTAATGCCATAACAAGTAGTGGGTAATGTCTCATATAAGAAATTGCATCCCGTTTTGTATGCATAATTTTCTGGACCTAAGATGCTTTCAGCAACCAGACACTAAAAAGAGGTTGTGATGCATCAGCAAAGAGAATTATTCACTAAAAAAGTCGTGATGCACCACTAAGAAAGCACTTATATAAGAATTATTCACACCATGGCAGTTAATGCTTAATTAGATAATAAATGTGATGGCAGCTACGAAGAATGCAAAAGTTTCATGAGAGATTATCCTACCATTGTCGATCAAAAGCATCCTCCTAACAGTCGTGTAAAAATGCACTAGAAAAATTTTGAATAAAATCCAGCCGTGCTACTGCTAATCATCAAGATCTGAGAAGGAAGTGTCATACAATTATGGCGAAGACCAACAGGACAAAGCCAAGAAAAGGAAAGAGATTATCAAAAATTAGCAATTCATATCTTCCTTTCAGTGCTTCATCGCAAAAGGCAAACCTCACTGTGAGAAAACTGCAGCAATCGACTTGTGTGCATCAAGGGATCTCGGATATGTCTTGCCGCTCGACGCAAGCGAACGCCAACAAGGAGGAGGCAGGAAGACGGGGCTCATTAGGGATCCAAGGGAAACCGACTCGCCCTTCCGTATGCATCGACAACAAAGCCATTCGGAAAAGAATGTCCGATGCAACAGATTTCTGATGTAAGGACATGATTCCTAGCTAAACAAGCGTTCGACAAGGAACAAAGGAGCCATCCTTTCATCGAGATCTAAAAGAAGAAGAAGCTAAATAAACCTTATCGCCAAGATCCGAGGTCTTACCCTCGGATCAAACCAACATACCAAGCAAGCGACAACGAAAGGGTAACCACCCTCTGATGCCCTCAACCTTAATCCAACGCAGCCGGAAAAGAAAAGGAAGGAAGCAAACCCAACACACCAACCATGCTTCCATGGAGATGTCAAAGAACAAGAAACTAATCAAACCCCATCGCCAGGCTCCCATGCTCTCCCCATCACAACAAAAACCTCGATCACCACCGCAAGCTACGGTAACAGAGTAGGAATCCGACGATCGCTAGGCTCTCCCCGTAGCCATTGCCACTTCCCGAGGAAGAAAGAGGAGCGAAAGAGAGGAAACGAGATCAAAATCTTGGGAGGAGGCCAAGAACAACGCAACAAGGACAACGAGGTGGGCAAACCGAACGTAACAGAAAAGATGCGCATCACGAATCACGACAACGACACGGGCAAACCATAACAGTAACAAAACGAATCACGAATCACGACAACGAGGTGTGTTGTCGTGAGGCACACTACACCCGACACGAATGACGCAAAAAGAATCTTTCGGAATCTCGGAGGCCACGACTTGCGTCGGGTAGGGGAAGGCTCTCCTCGTACAAAGCAACAAAGTACATGGGCATTATAGTCATTTCATAATTCGCAAAAAATAGAGAAAAAAATCGATTAATTAAAGAACAGGAAGCAACCGAGCACAAAGCACAAACCTTCCACTACCTCCGCTCCTTCTCTCGCGCTCTTCCTCGGCCGCTGCCTCGCTTCAAGACCACCGCTCTCCGCCTTCTCCCTCTCCATCTCCATCTCCATCTCCATCCCTCTCGTCTTCTTCTTCCTCCACCTCCAAGAAAGTGACTCTCTCGGCCATGGAACACTGGCTGCTCCCTTTTAATCTCCTGCTTTGTTTCTCAGCCAAACAAGCCAGAATAATAAATAAGGCACATGCAGCACGCGAGACCGACAGCTACAGAAGAATTTAGTTCCAACCCATAGTTGTCCTCAACCTCTAACGTGTTCAATCTTGCAAGAGCTCTCCCTGCTATCTCGTTGGAAACTGCTGTAATGGACATCAATGAACTCACCACCAAGCTTGCTGGTGGAGCTAATTAATGATCCATGAGAATAGCGTGAAACTATTTATGATGTTCATACGGAGGTTAGTGTTTGAATCAAACATATATCTGAGACTAAAATAAGGAGATGACCTCAACCGAAGACTTCCATCTGATAGCTTCGGTGGATGCGCTGTCAGCACATGAGTTTCAAGGTTGGAAATATGAGCCATCATTGGAATTATCATATTGTGCATTCTAGAATATAGATAAGGCTGGAATCAAATAGTCTACGTTGGAATTATGATCATGAACTCCACAAAATGAGGAGTGCTATGATCAAATAGCCGCTGGTTTCCAACGTAGAGGAATATGCCTCAGAATAATAATAGTCAGTGACAAAGAAATAAAGGCTTCCACAAATACTGAAATGAAGAAAGTCAAGCATCATGGTTTTCAAACCTGAATCTGACCATTTTAATTGGCCATGATGTTTATGAATATTTATTTCCTTATTTTGTTGTCTTTCTTTTACTTGTTTCACAAATATAATTAGTTATATTTATGCATTGTATCGAGTTAGAGAAGAAAAGAAATCATGCAATCGAAGGAGTTGGGAGTAGGCTGCAGAGTATTAGATGCGCCGACCCAACTCAGAAGTATATCGCATTGTGTAAGTGTAATATCTTATTCCTAATTTTATCTATATTTCAAGAATGCAACGTAAAGTAAGAAATCTTAAAACTAAAATATGCTAACTCACTAAATAAAATGATAGGATTTTCCTTCGTAATGTTTTTAACACCTGTATATAATTATAATATTTAATCAAAGAAAAATTTATACGTACACTCACATAACATGTTAGAAGTTATATATAATGCTTATATGTCATCATCTGTATCTATGTTGACATGGGTTTGCATGTGCTCGCTTTCTACTCGATCACTTGGATAGGATACTAGTATTCTTACCTATAAAATAGGATCTATAATGAGTAATAGTAAGTATAAGCTTTTATAGTTTTATTTAAATGAGCATGTATCATGTCATATATACTACATTTTCACAATCGTAGATATAAAACATTTAATGATAGGCATTTCATCCTGACTTCATTAGCACTCGTAAACATAGTATATGCACAATAAGAATATAAATTTTACGTTGGAATAAATCAAAAAGCTTATATGCATACGTAGAAAATATAACAAATTGATAGATTTCTATACGATATATCATAACATATATTTGCACTCCCACATCGCATATCATCATAATATATACGTATACTTATACACCGTATGTTATAATACATGCGTGCAGTCTCATATCGCACGTCATAATATATACGTGCACTTTCATACTACACATCATAATACATACGTGCATTCTCGTACCGCATGTCATAATACATATGTACACTTTCACACTATACATCATAATACATACATGCATTCTCATACCGCACGTCATAATACACACATGTACTCCTACACCGCATATCATAATACATACACGCACTCTCATACCTTACATAATAATATATATATATATATATATATATATATATACTCCCACACTACATATCATAATATATAAGTACTCACCAATTCAACCTATCTCATATTCTTCGCTGTGGGAACTCCTATATCATCTGAAGCAGTCAAAAGTTGAAACGTAGATACAACCATACGAGGCTCCTAAGTCTTCCTCCTCGGAATGAGACGAGCTCTCAGTGGATTCTTCATGACGACAGCAAACTCGACCTTCTCGCTCAGGTCGACCTCCTCGCCCTCCACGGCTTTCCACTCGAACCTCCTCACCAGGTTGGCTACAAAGTACTGCAAGTGGAGCCTGGCCAGTCCCAGCCCCGGGCATATCCGCCTCCCGGCCCCGAACGGCATCATCTTGATCTCCCTGCTCCCCGTGATGTCCACCGCCCCTCCTTCGATGCCCAGGAATCTCTCCGGCTTGAACTCCATCGGCTCCTCCCACGCCTTCTCGTCCCAGTTCATCCCCGCCACGAAGAAGTTGACCGTCGCCTCCCTGGGAATCAGATACCCGCACAGGCTCACGTCCTCCGTCACCGCGCGCGGGGGCAGGAAGTGGGCGGGCGGGTGCCGCCGCAGACCCTCCATGATCACCGCCTTCAGGTACGGCATCTTCTGCAGGTCCTCCGCTTTGATATCCTCCTCCTCGCCGCTCCCCGCGGCGGCCCGCTCGATCTCTTCCCACAGCTTTGCTTGAATGCCTTGGTGCTTCACCAGGTTCGCCATAATCCACTGCAGCGCGGTCGACGTCGTGTCCGTGCCCCCGGTCAGGAACTCCGAGCACAGGGACACCACCTCGTTGTCAGAGAGCTTCCTTCCACCTTCCTCCGGGAGCTCGATGTCGAGCAGGGAATCCACGTAAGAAACCACG